ACTAAACGTAAACACACGACTTTTTTTGAAATTTTGAAGGTAATTTTGATAATTTGGTAATAAAAACATTTCTTTGTTAGATGATTTCCTTCAAAAGATATGTAAATCTTTTGAAGAAAATAACAACAAATAAAAAACACTGAAAATCTCAATATACAATTTAAACAATGAATATTCTCATATACGAGTAATATAATGAGAATTATAATGATTGAATTTTAAATAGTTTTTTTATGCCATTGACTGTATCTCATTACTTCCAGTATTGATTATAATATTGTTATTGCAATGAACAATACTAAAATTATTTAGACCTTCAATTTGAAAAGTAAATATGTTTGTTATTTGGCTTGGAAGCAAATTTTATCAGCCACAAGGAACAATGTGTTGGTGGCAAGAATAATCTAACGAGACAAAGCGCAAGTTTGACAACCACAGGTGCCTGGGTTCGTATCACGGTCGGATACAAAGTTTTTACTTTTGTTTTTTTTTTGTATTTATTAAATGTTTGTTTTATGTAATGCTGTTTTGGCCAAAAACTCCGAGCAAAGCTTGGTGGCCCAGGTACTACAAAAATAAAAAGAGTAAAAGTCATATTAATAAAATATTCATGTGCGAATTGGACTCGCACTTGTTTTTGTTTTTTTAATTTTTTTTAAAGCATCTGATACTAAAATGGGAATGGATAGCTGTAACTAATTAAAACTAATCTAGAACATTATCTAACTACTCTATCTGCTTGAAACCAAATTAAAATTGAATAAATGCTTGTATATTTCCTAGTTTGCTTAAAATTATAACAAACTTTAAAAATTCATTACATCTTGCATATACGAGGCATTTTGTAAACATGAATTTCACGGGACATAAAATTGAATAATAACGAAAGTGTAGTGTATTAAAACTAGGTAGAGCTGTTACAACCCGGAAACATCTTACATACGTAGCTCTGACCACTTCGTTTTGACCGTTTTGAAAATGGAGGAGGCGTGTTTGACTTCGAAAAGGAAGTGACTTGGCTATTCGACTGCATGTTTTTATCTTTACAAATTGTGAATTGATTATTATTATTTTTTAATAAATAGGGTTATACCTGGAAAGAATGATCCGATACAAATTTCAACCCCTAAAGGTAAGTAAATTAATAAATATGTTGAAACATTAACACACAGCACCATCTAGTTCCATGGTAAGCTTGTGTTATGGATACTAGATAGTTGTTATATGTGATACTAGGTAGTAGTTACACGTATATAACTTTAAATACATTCATATTATAAATATAATAAAGTGAAATTTATGCTTTTAACTAATGGGCCCAGAAGCTTGGAATATTACGCAAGTGTTTTATATATAACAAAGATGTTCACTATGAACTAAAATATTCACTAAAAGGCTTTACTAGGATGAAAGTCTGATGGAAAATCCAAATTCCTAATTGTAAATCGTATGGGACATACATACATATAGAGGGTGTTTAGTTGCCATGGATTTTGAATTTCCCACAGTACTATTTTAAATGAAACATAAGCAAACCCGCAAGAGGTGTCTACCTAAGCTATAAAATGTGTAACATGCCATAAACGGTTTTTACGAAACGTTACATCCGCTTACAAAACAACATGGAACATATATATTTTCCACAAACTTCTTCGTGTTTTAAGTCACATATTGTATACAATCCACTACGCAATCGCCGTCCAGTCACGACTTTAACATCTGCCCCTCATTTTACTATATTTGTTCGATTGATAAAGTTGGATGAACATTATTATGTAACAAAATCTTTTCTTCTAAGTTAAAAATATTTTATGATATTTTATTAAGTATATTTGTGATTTGAATGTATTTTCTTTACTTGTTAGTATATCTTCTTGTATGTTTGTATGTATAAGCTTACTGTTTTTTATGATATAATTTCCCAATTGATAACTGTTTATCTTATCACCATTTTCGTTAATATTTCATTGTACATTGAAAATGTCATTTTTATATATGCATTTGTTTGTCTGTTTATTCTTTTTTAATTTTTTTACATTTAATTTAACCTGAGTAAAATTGCTAAGTTTTAGTTGAATCGGTTAAGAAAATCAACATATGTATTTCTTGATATAACACGAGAGTAATATGTAATAAGAAGCAAAATTTAGTATGTCACATATATTTTGTTGCGTAAAATGCCTGCAAAATACGTCTACTACATAATAGTACGTTTTAGAATTAATCTATACATATAATAAAATTGTAACTGAGCTGAATTTGTACATTAAATATTTTTTGGAAAATCTTATTGAAATAAACATTATTGATACAGAGGCCGAATCTATAGTTTTTAGAATTTTTGTCTGTCTGTCTGTCTGTTACCGCATCACAAAAAACCACTGGAGGGATTTTGATGAAATTTGGGATGGTGATAGCTGGTTATCCGGGTCAACATATAGGATAATTTTAACCGTAGGAAAATATCTCATTTCTGAGAAAAAATACAAAAACTGTAATGTAAGGGTGTACTAATATGTAAAACCTAAGAATTTAGTTTTTAGTCATCTGAACGCGGGCGGAGCCGCGGGCAATGCTAGTTATAAATATATAGGGCATTTAGTATTTATAGTGTCACATAAATTTGAAATTTTAGCAATAGTAAAATCGTAATATTATTCTAACTTCGGTGAAGAGAAGGGCAAAATGTAAATAGTTAACCGAATACGGTTAGAAAATCTCGGTCATTGCTATCCAAAATCGACGTAAATAGTTTATATTGCCCTAGTAATTAAATTGCTCTATATAACTCTAAATACCTCACTATAATTTTTGTTAAATTGTAACAAATTATTGTCATTGTGAAAGATGTGTTATTACTTTTATTCACGAACAAAAATATATGTAAATTTTAAGTCGCAGATATTCGTTGTTCGACGACACGTTTGGCTCAGTTTGTAGTGACCCTACTTGCTGTGCCAGCGGTCGCGGGTTCGAGTCTCGCTGGGAGCATTCATTTGTGTGATGAGCACGAATGTTTGTACTCTAGTCGTGGGTGTTTATATTTATAATATGTATGTATTTAAAGATTTTAATATGTGTAGTGTATCAACTATCTGGTATCCATAACACAAGCCTCGTAGCTTACCATGGACCTAGATGGTGCTGTGTGCTAATGTCCCAACATATTTATCTATTACTTCAGTAAATATAGTGAGTTATATGAAAATAATTAAGTGTTGTTTTCTTTTCCTTTACAGAACTTTTTATAACTGTACTAATTTAAATTGTATAATCTTTACATATAATAAAATTCTGAGTCGAATCTGTACGTTAAATATTTTTTAGATAATCTTATTGAAATATTCATTATATAGATAGAGAGGCCAAACATAGATTTGGGAACACATCACGAGAAAACCACTTGACAGATGAAATTTGGTATGATGATAGCTAGTTATCCGGGTAAACATAGGATACTTTTTACTACAGGAAAATATCTGATCTCTGAGAAATCTATATCAAGCGTGAAAACGTATCTAGGGACGAACCTAAGCGGAGCGAGGGCGAGTCGCTAGTACTAATATAAGTAAACAACTAACCTTTATAATTATACATTATATACAAAGTTTACTCGAACTGATTGGTGTGAAAGTGAGGTGCGATTAGAACAAAATAGAAAAGCGAAAAAAATACGACTAATTAGAAAATCACAATGTCAAGAATACTAAGGTCAATAAACAGAGAAAACACGATAAAAACCAAACAAAGCCACAATTAGACAAAATACAATATTGTATAGATGTATTGTTTTATTAAACACAATGCCTAGGAAAGTGTCTAAAATCGAGAGGTTTTTAGACGTGAGTATGGAAGACTAGCTATTATTTTACGAAGAATATTGATGAATATTTCTGTGTAAAACGTATCTTTATGTAGATTAGATGTATATAATTGTACCTTGTGTATTTATTATGAAACTACACGTGCATGAAAATTTTTATTTTTTGGGTTAGTCGTCATGCTAAATATATTTGAAGTATTTGTATAAAATCAAAAATTTCGTACAACTGCCGTAAATTCTCTGGTTAATTTCATATCAAAACTTCGGTACTTACCTTTGTCGAGTTTTCTCAATTCTTATGAGATATGCAAATTCACTTAACTTACACTTTAGTGTATGTATAAACAAATTTTATCAACCTTTTTATACGTACATGTATACCTTACGCAAGAACACTGCTTAAACATATATAGCAATGATCCTCTAGAGTGGTATATTATAAAATAATTAAATTATATTTACTCACATTTTATTACAAGTTTTATTTATTTCTGTAAGTACATTACATAACTGTTACATTACGTCGGATTTATACATATTGGTAACGTAAAAAAAATATTAGTATTACGATTTAAATATCTACGCTAATCATAACCTATGACAATTTGTGCGAAAGCTTTATACCAAATCTAATTTGTTGTTACATTAAATATACATTTTTGGTAAAAACTTCCCTTTCATAAATATCTAATTTAAAGCTATGTCGATAAAATGACTACACTGTTACATCTATATATACAAGCACACCATGTTGAATGAAATGCAAAGATCACTACGATGTTATATAAAGAAATAATAGCTCCTTTGAACGGTCCATTTCAACCATTCAAACTTTTGTTTAATACATGTACCTATGTATTATTACACGTTTAAGCAAACTTAAACTTAGTTTATGTAATAACGTAGTTGCCTTTAGCTTTATCATCAGCTAAATAGTACTTAAAATACAGTGTTATTTTAACTAATGCAAGATGTATACAACCTTTAAGTTTAAGTTAACCTTTGAGACAATTCTAGTTAAAAAAAGGTTTTTAATAAAAATAAAAAAAAGGTATTCTAAAAAAATCTAAGTTTAACGCTCTCTTAAAATCGCAGTTTCAGCATTTCATTCCTTAACCGAATAAACCAACCCAACTAAATATACTGATTAAATTTTGGACGTATTGAATTCAAATTACGTTTCCGCGTCGACAGTAGGCGGGGGAGTTGTTTGTCTTCTGGGAACGAATGCCGGTCTCACTGGTCTAATTGGTTTGAACACCCTCCTTTCGGTAGTCGACCGAGGAGTTTCTGTAGTAAAGGTTCTAGCTACTTTTGTTGTAGTTTTTTTTCTTATATCTATTGGTACATTTTGAGCCCTATTTGCTGAAAATCGCGTCTTATTCGGACTGAAACTAGAAGTTTTATTTGCTCTCTGAATTGGTTTCGGGGTAATAGTTACTCTAGATACAGTTCTTGGTGCTGAAGCCAATCTAGTAAAATTTGAGGGTCTTATGATAGGTCTTCTCAACCCATATTTTGCTCTCTTGGCGTCAACTGGTGATATTGTGACTGTGGTTGTTTCTTCAGCTGTTGTCTCGGTGGCAGATATTTCGGTAGTTGTTTGTGTTGGAGACGGTAATTCCGTTGTTTTTTCATATAAATCAGCTTCGGACTGTGAAATCGTTGGGGCAACAGTTGTCAATAGTTCTAATATTGGGCTAGTCATTATGTTTTCTGTTGATGTCATTAAAGTACTTAAAGTTTCAGTTGTCGTTGATGAAGATATTGTTTTAGCATCTGTGGATGTACTCATAGGGGTTGACGTGTGAATGTATTCAGGAGATTTTTCCAGTACCGATATACTAATCGGGTATTTTATCGTTGATTCCTCTACGGAAGGACCCTTAAACTCTCTGCCCTTGGCAAAGGTTACTATATTTCTAGCAGTTTGGGGTATCAATATTTTCAGTTTTACAAGGCTGGCTTCTTTTTCTTCATTAGAAATGGAGGCAGAATACACAACAAAGGGCTTATTGTCTTTATCTTCGTTAACTTTTCTTGGCATGGGATTTTCTGTTCTGAATAATGACTCCAAAGGCAAAGTTGATGGATCCGTTGTCATCAAGCGAGGTGTAACTATACCAAAACTTTTAGCTTTAACTAGATTTGATTTTTCATTTTCATAAGCCGCAGGAATAAATTGCCATTGTGGATAAGAGTCATTTTCTTCCGATTTATCTGTTTTTTTGTCATCATTAACATAGCTCAGAAAGTCATCGCTCGGTATATGCTCTACGTGTCCCTTATCAGATGATTTCGTTGGGTGGACAACTCGATTTACATGACGATAAGCTTCATTCATACTTTCAGAAGCAACTAAATTTTCTTTAGGTATATCAGAAAAGTCAACTAGAGCTCTTGCATTACGAGCTTCGTCAATACGAATTGGATTATATGGAGGATTATCTACAGGATAAATATGACCATATTTTGTTAGATAAATTGGTATTTCATCTTCGACTATTTTTATTAGGCTAAATCTACTTACTTCGCCAATTTTATCTACGGTAGGTTTCTTTTCTACCATAATTTTTCCTTCTTCTATTAACGTGGTTTCATTGTTTTTATTTAATCGATGTTTTTCTGATTTTGATGACACTTCAACGACTCTACTTATAGAAAAGAGTTTGTCAAATTGTGTTTTTACTATAGGCGAAACAGGGGCAACAATTGTGGGTTCGGGTGATGATTCAGTTATAGCTTCTGTTACACTTACAACTTTTCTTGCGGTAGGTGCATCAGTAGAAGTTTGGCTTTCAATAGCTACATCTGTTTGCAAATTAACTGTTGTGTCTTGAGAAGTTGGATAATTCGTAGTATATTCTAAATAGTCATCGGTGCTGTTATTAACTTCCATTTCTTCCACTACTGTTCCTACTTCGATTTCACTGGTAGGTGTCGTAGTTAATTCGGACATCGAAAGATAATCATCATCATTTTCTGTAGTTGTTTCAGCATTGTTGTTTGAAGGAGGCGTTGTTATTTTTTCTGATTCTTGAGATACAATATTTTTAGTAAGTTTCGTTGAATTTTTAGGAATCAAACTTAGCGCCGGCTTAGGACCACCGTAGCCAATTGGCACGTTTTGAACACGTTTTTTAGTGTCATTAACAGGCTTGTTACTACTAAATCTATTGTAAATAATAGTTTTATTTTGATTATTTAAAGGTTTTGGTATTTCTGTGGTGGATGTAGAAGTTCTAAAAGTATTCGAATTAATAACACGTGGTTTGAATGAAGGCTTTTTAGACGTTGGCTTAAAACTTATTGGTTGTTCCTCTTCTTCCTCTATTTCATCTTCAGGTACTTCTAAATCCTCATTATTACCTTCTTCTTCTTCTTCTTCATCTAGATCTTCATACTCTTCGGAGTGGTTTGGTTTTCTCGTAAATAGTTTATTTGGTGGAACAATAGCAAATGGATTTTCAGGCTCTGCTTCTAAAATTTCTTCATCTGAGTACTCTTCTTCATCTTCTTCTTGTGGTTTTGGAGTAGTCCTCACTGGAGGAAATGTTCTTCTAGTGAATGTTCTAGAAAATAGAGGTCTTTTTGTAGTACCACGGCTAAAAGTACCTGGTCTGTCGACAGTTGCCGGGCTTGTATATACTCCAGGATTATATTTACGACTATAAGTTCTACTACTCGATGGTGTAGATTCTGTAGTTGATGTGAATAGTCGTTTTGCGGGTCTATATGGTGATCTTGATCTTGGTGTTGGTGATGTTAATTTGGTTGTACTCGTTGTTGTAGTTTCAGTTATTACTGTTTCTGTGCCAGATAATTCTATAGTAGAATCTTCGCCATCTTTTTCTGCGCTTTGCTTGTTATCTGATGATTCTTTTGTTGTAGTATTGACATTACTTTCTATGGATATACTTTTTTCTTCTACAGTTATGAAAACATTTTCAGTGTTTGTCTCTGACTTCGAAGAATTTTGTTTTTCTTTCAGGCCATTAATATCTTCAATTTTTGATTCTTTCTCGACATCTGACAAATCTAACGTTTTTTCTTCTGTCTTTATAATAACATCAGGCTTTTCTTCTTCCATTACATGTTTGTGTAAAATTAATGTTTCATTATGGTTTTCTTCTTCTACATTTTCATGATCAATATTTAGATTTTCTTTTTTGGCTTCTGAAGTTATATTGGTATTTTCTATATTGTCTTTGTGATTTACTATATTAGTCGTAGTTTCTTTTAGTATTTCAGTTACTGGTACTATTTCCTCCTCATTATCCTTTTCAGTTGTATCCGTTCTGTATTCTTCTACGGGAATTGTGGGTGTTGTCGTTCGAGTCTTTTCCCCATAATTGATAAAATCTTTCGGCGCATCTTTGAATCCAGCGTTCACTAATCCTATTAGCTTCGTTGAAATTTCAATTTCTTCCTCAGGAGACTTTATTTTCTTTCTTATAATTTTACGAATTCGTGTTACTGTTGGCGTAGTTGTTTCTATAGCTTCAGGTAGAGAATCTTCAGTTGTGGAAGGTGTTGGCCGTCTGCGAATAACTCTAAACTTCCTTTTTCCGTTTCTATCTGGAGCAGATTCTGCAGTAGGTATATTTTCAATTATTTCATCTGACCTATTTGACTTTAGATCTTCTTCTTCTTCCTCTTCGTGTTCTTTGAGAGCTATTGCACTCTCAGATAGTTTTATGTCATCATTTCTGTTGTCTAATTCATCATCATCATTGTCTGGGGCTACTGATGTTTGAGTTGTAGATTGCCTAGTAAATGGCAATTTTCTAGCTTGCAATACCGGCGGAACGGTGGAAATAGTATTTCTTGATATTCCAAATGTTAAGCGAGGACGTGATCTTTGAATGGTTGTAATATTCCCATCATTTACATTATTTCCTGATTTGAATATAGCTGCCGTACTTCTAGCGAATGGACGTGGTGTAAACCTAGTAAGTGTTGGACGTTTTATACTTACAGGGGCTTCTGTCGACTTTTCTAAAGCAACTGTCGTGAAAGTTGAAAACCTTCCACGTCCTCTAGGTAAGATATTAGTTGGTCGCCTTTCTTCTATGGTAGCTGCGGATACTTCACTATCTAAAGCTTTATCAGCGACCGTTGTAGGAGCCCTCCCACGCAATCTTTCATTACTTTCTACTTCTTCATCACTATTATCATTACCATCAATAATTTCCGATGTGTCCACATCGATAGCTGTAAATAATACATCTTGGGCTACTTGAGAACCTAACTGATCTGTTGCTACTTGAGACGCAGCAGCCGGTACAGAGTCTTCAGTCCGCGATATACGGAACTTACTCCTAAATCGTTTGACCACTCCACTATCACTATCTTTCACACTGCCTACTTCACGACTATCTGGTGTAGTCGACCTTATTTTTCGCAAACTTTCGACCGATTCATTAGATTCTGATATTTCGTTGGGTTGGGATAAGGGTCTACGTCTGCGTATGAAAGAATAATTCCTAGAACTCACCTGTGTTGTTGATGTTGGTGCTTCGGTAGTAGTTGTTTGGATTGTTGATCCTCGACGCCTTAGAAGAGGTCGTCGTGTCGTAGTAGGGGCTGGAGTAGTAGTAGTAGATGTTGTAGTAGTTGTTACTGTAGTGGAAGTAGTTGTCGTTTCGGCTTCAGTCGTTAGAACTGGTTCGGGTACGGGACTTTGTACTTCTTCCGAACTTTGCGCATTTAGTAGGGAAGATATTTGAACAGAAAGGATGGTGGTGGGTTCGGGAGTGTTTAGTTCAGGTTCAGGAGGAAGAGTGGTTGATCGAGTTCTAACTACTGACGTGTATTGCGGTTGCGCCACTTGTGAAGAAATTTCTCTTTCTAATGCTGTCTCTTGAGATTCTTTGTCGTTTTCTTCTTCTGACGCTTCGTATCTGAGAAATTAAAATTACTTATTAGTTTTTGTTACAATAATGTCAAAATCTATAAACAAGTACACAAACATATTACTATACTGTTTAATTTAGTACTTATTATTAAAACACGAGAGATTTGAATATAATTATCATGAATTATATTTTTATTTAAATTTTTCCGGGATAAAAAGTAGCCTATTTGTTATTCTAATGTATGAATTATATTATTGTAAAGTTTCATTTAAATCCAAGGAGTAGTTTTTGTGTACTACGCTGTATAATTTACTATAGTTTTTTAACTATCCCACGGGAACTCTTTAATTTTCCGAGATGAAAAGTATCTAATATGTTGGCCGGGGATATAAGGTATCACCATGCAAAATTGGTCTAACAGTTTCGGAGATCTAGCCGTACAATCAGACAAACAGACAGAGAAACGAAAAATTAAAAAAATCTGGATTTGTTTTATTTCTCTTCTTATATCCCCCTAACTTGGTATTTAGCATTTTTTTCTACGTACAGACATTCGACCTCTACAGTTTTATTATTAGTATAGATTTTAAAACCTACTAAATTATAAATAATAACCTTTTATATTTACGTTAGATGGCTTTAAATTGCTATTTTAATTTAGTTATTTTAGTTTAGGTGCCGATATCAAATAAATAACTCTATGAGTAAGTACTTGAGAACACAATATTTTTAAATTACAGACATACATTTCAATTTTATTCATACATATGGATGTATGTATAAATAATACTTACTGCTGAGTTGTAGTTTCAGCGGTAGGTCTAGAGCGTCGAATAGTGACGTATTCGGGAATGTTCTCGCGGCGCGCGCTCGCGGCGTCCAGCGAGTTCGGGGACTCCCGAACCGCCGCGTAGGGCTCCGCGCGCTCGAACAGCGCGTTCCTATAATATTGCACCTTAAATTAGTATTCGACGTGGTTTTCATGAACTTAATATAACAAGTATTAAATAAAATTATTTTTTTAATTTATTTTTGGAACCCCTTTTTTAGTTTCCCTGTTTTCTGATTCATGTGTCTTCTCTTTTCCTCTCTCTTCCTGGTTTCTATTGTCATTCATAAATTGTGTTCATAAATTGCCGTTCATAAATTGTGATTAGGAAGAGATAAGAAGTACTTTAAATTAAAGTTAAATCGGCATAACTATCCTAATTTTTTTTTCTATAGTAGCAATAAATCTTGATCTTACAAGCAACCATATTTGATCTTCAACCTCAGAATCAAAACGGTGTTTAACAATATGTATGTAAATTTATTATTATTAAGCCTTTTTAACATCCCATTGCTGGGGAAGGGGCCTCCTTTCAATACGAAGGGGATCAGGCCATAGTCCACCACGCTGGCCAAATGTGGGTTGACGGACATCACATGTCTTTCGAAAACTTGCTAGGTTCTCTCAGACATGTAAGTTTTTCTCACGATGTTTTCCTTCACTGAGACAAGTGTTAATCATTTTAGAAATGATTCGCAAATGAAAATATCAAAGGTGCGAGACCCGGGATTTGAACCCGATTCACTCGGTTTCCTAAGCGAGCACATTACCACTGGGCTACCACTGCCTTCTTGAACAATATATTGACCTAGAATCATCAGGAGCTTCTGTCCCAGCACTGGTGGGTCTGGTCCGTCGTATGTTCACATACTGCAGCGGGCGCGCGCTGGTCGCGACACTCTCTTTTTCCCTCGAAAGCGAATCCCGCGGGATCTCCCTAGATCTGGATACTTGGACTTCTTCGGATTCCTCTTCAAACTCTTCGCTGTCGGGCGATATCGGTGTGGTCGATGATGATCGAGATCGGTTGATTGTTACGTATCTGTAATAGGAAAATATTTTGTTATATAAATTATATATTTGAATGATATGGTACTTACTGACGACGTGTACCAAAGTGGCATGTCTGTACCACAGTATTAAAATTTTTATAGTAGGCGCTAACCCTTTGATATCCGATATAATAACTATAAAATAAATATGTTGGGACATTAACACACAGCACAATCTAGTTCCATGATATGACGAGGCCTGTGTTATGGATACCAGACAGTTGATACACTACACATATATAACTTTAAATACATACATATTATGAATATAAATATAAATATCCATGCCTGGAGTACAAACATTCGTGTTCATCACACAATTGAATGTCCCCAGCGGGACTTGTATGAACCTTGTATGACCCCGCGACCGCTGACACGGCAAGTAGAATCACTACATACTAAGCCAAACTTGTCGTCAAAAACTATCCTATCTTTTCCAGTCTCAAATTATGTCCATACCAGAGTTCATCTAAATCGGTTCAACGAATTAAATGTAAGGAACGAATTAAAGGTAACAGACAGACAGAGTTACTTTCGCATTTATAATATTAGTATGGACTATAGATACTCACTGCGGCCTGTCCCTCCTCAGCAGTCTGTCAGCATCCGCGCCACGCTCGAGCCCCTCATTCTGCGGGGCGCGGCGGCTGTTCTGCACGCCGCCCTCCAACACGCTGTTGCCCGACTGGCTCTCGATCACGCTGTTGCCGGTGAACCTGTTCATGGTCAGTTAAAGTTTGTGAAGAAGGAATTTTTTTATAATGTTCTTTGTTCAGCATAAGGCTTTTAGAGATAAGATATTGGAAAAAAATGGGAAATTCAAAAAAAACTGGAAAGGTCTTTTCAATAGGATTTTTGTATGTCTTAAAAGATCAAGAATACAATTATGGACATGATAATGAGAGTTGTATCAGCTAGTTATGAAAGAATATATTGCAACTAGCTAGTTAAGTTTTAACGTTTAGTATAGATTTCTCAGAGATAAGATATTTTCCCGCAGTAAAAAGTATCCTATATGTTGACTCGGATGACCAGTTATCATTATATCAAATTTCATCAAAATCTGTCCAGTGGCTTTCTCGTGATGTGGTCACAGACAAAAATTCTAAAAACTATAGATTCGGCCTCTGTATCAATAATAATGTTTATTTCAATAAGATTACAATGTATAGACTAGCGGCTCACAAAAACAAACCTATGTCACGGGAACCGTACATTTTTCTGGGATAAAAAGTAGCCCATGTTAGTTATAGAGATCCAGTTTTTTTTTATTTTCCGACCAAATGAGGTGTAGGATCTAAATTCTAATAGAATTCTTATACATATGTATGAATGTATGTATATACTAACTTGTTCCTTCCTCTAGTCTTCTCCAATACACGTTGGTACAATTTCTTATTGAAGGAAGAAGGTGTGGTGGAGGCGACACCGTCCGTTGTGCCCGAACTAGAAGACTCTGATAACTTCAAATGTTTTTCGAGTTGTTCCACTCCACCTGTTATTGGGGATTGAATTAAAGTTTTCTTTTATATTGAAATTAAATGTGTAATTTTATTTTAAAATAATATTACGACAAAATTGTTTTTATTTTATTTCGTATTTTCCATCTTTTTTATATTTTATCTTATTTGTAATATTTAACTTATAAAAATAATTATATACAAGAAATAATTTATGTATACATTAAACAAACGTGCATAAAAACGCTTATTACATCGATCACTTACCAACTTTCTTAATGAGATCGATCAGTTCCTTAATAACCTTTGGATCTTCTGCTTCAATATCTGCCACTTCTTCTGCTGTCACCTCATCTTCTTCTTCACTTACCTAATAACAATTTTATAATTAGCAACTTTTGATAGATAATTTTATAACTATTTAAAGTGCCACGATAAATAAGCCTGTGTCATCTATGTCAAAAATATTGGGTTAAATTAAGTAAATCGCTATGCATATAAAGCGTTTTATATCTTTTAAAGGTAGTATATACACATATATACCTTTTAAAAAAACTGGTTTTACAGTAATAATACCATATTATATTATACTTCTCAGAAATCTACTTTTAACTAAGATGGGAAAAATATTACGTATCATAAGAAAATGCACACTTTTATTAAGTGTCTTTTCTTTTAAAGTTGTTCAAAATATACGAAAAGATTACATACCTCAGGCTCAGGAGTAGTAGTAGTGGTGGTGGTAGAAGGAGGTGTTCTAAACAACAAGGAGCTTCTAGAAGTAAGTCGTATCGGGCGTCTGGTTGTCGTGGTTGTTGTGGTTGTGGTGGTGGTTGTGGCTTCGGTTGTCTTGGCGGCGGTGGTTGCTTTGGTCGGTGCTTTGGTTGTATCTGTTGGTTTCTTGCAAAGGACGTTGCGGGCGAAGTCGCAAGAATCTGCTGCTTTGTTGAAGTAGAGACCTGTAAAAGAACTATAGTTTTAATCACAGTTGACGTTATATTTGTATTTTATTAATACAGATATATAATACCATTAAACATGATAGACTTCTTGACGTTTCGAATACTTTAACGCAATCATAGTCACGGGAGAGACTGCCTTTCATACATAGAAAACATAGTTTTTGTTTTGATAATATTTTTTAATATTTTGGGATATTAACACACAGCGCCATCTAGTTCCATGGTAAGCTACGAGGCTTATGTTATGATACCAGATAGTTGATACTGATGATGAGCACATGTACACATATATAACTTTTTAAATACATACATATTATAAACACCCATGACTGGTATACAAACATTCGTGCTAAAGAATCACACAAATGAATGCCCCCTGCGGGACTCCAACACACGATCGCTGGCACAGCAAGTACATCAAGGTCACAAGGACAAGGGTCACTACAAGCTGAGCCAAATTTGTCGTCATATTCAATCAGTTTTATTTAAAACTAGCGGCTCACAAAAACAAACATATCCTACGGGAACCGTACATTTTTCAAGTAAAGTTGTTGTTCATACGAAAAGTAGCATATGTTAGTCCAGACTATAATCTATCTCTGTGTCAAATTTCATCCAGATCCGTTCAATCGTTCCAGCGTGAAAGAGTAACAAACATCCATACTCACAAACATTTCACATTTATCTATACAGATAAATAAAATTGAAGTGTGTGTTTGTAATGTCAAAATAACAGTGTTTTACTTAATCGATATGAAATTATATACGGTACTTATAAGAAAAACACGTTTTTTTTTAATTTTTGTCTGTCTGTCTGTTTGTTCTGGATAATCTCTGAAACGTCTGGACTGATTTTGAAGGGATTTTCACTTAAAGATAGCTGATGTTATAGGAAGTAACATAGGCTACTTTTATTTTAGAAAAAGAATTAGGGTTCCGCTCAAAAAAATTAAAACGTTCCTAGGGACGAACCCGAGCGAAGCGATGTTGAGTCGCTAGTAATATTAATGCGGATAGTATCATAGTATATATATTAGATATGGAAAACCAACAGACCCGAGGGACAGGTGAACTGGTGCGCCACGATGCCGAGGTCGGAGGGGCCGGAGTCGAGGCACCAGAAGTACTTCTTGCAGTCGCGCGGGTGCGGGAAAAAGCCCTCGTCCTTGCACTTGAAGTCTACAATCATTCGTTACATTACAATTATATTTATATCCCTTACTTGATTGATACCCATACAAAATGTACCCCCCCCCCCTTTCCACCAACTTAAAGGATGATTTTCGGGATAAAAACTATTCTATGTCCTTCCCTAGGTTCCAAACTATCTTGATATTAAATTTCATATTAACCGGTTCAGCGTATTAAGCGTGAAAAGTTAACAGACAGACATAGTTACTTTCGCATACATAATATTAGTATGAATTTCTATCTAATTGTTTATTTAAATTCACTTAAAATTTATTGTTCGCATTTAGTATAATTATCTCGAGCCTTGTGGGCTTTTTTGTTGCAGAAGTTATTTAAAACAAAATTTCTAAATTTAAAGCGATTTCGAAGGCATAGTACGAGTATTTTAATCTCTTTAGTTTACTTAGTATTAAACGCAATTATATTGCGATTAGTATTGTATTAACATATTACCAAGTTGTTGAAATTGTTTGGTAATTATATTTTTGTAGCAAAGTGATATTATTTTATTAAATATGCTCACTGAATTGAACAATAATATCTTAAATTAAAAGTTATATTTAATCATTGAAAGACAAAAATGGCACAAAATTTTATTTAAGTGTTTTAATATTTTAAAACTATTATTATTATCAGTAAATTTTATTTATTTTTATTTTATTTTATTTATTTAGGTACAGAAACAGAAAACAAATTAAAAAAAAATACATCTTCGTATTAAAAACTAAAAATATCATATTAAATTTGTTCTCCAATTATGTCTGTACACAACATTCAAATATAAACATATAATAATTATATAAAGAAACTTAACCAAAAAAGTGAATTAATACAGTATGAGTCTGTGCATTTAAAGTAACGAGTACATAAGAAATATTAAAAAACAAAAACAAAATAATATTTACATTTCATGTGGAAAAAAAGACAAAGAAAAGAAAAAAAGATAAAGGAGAAGAAACAGAGAGAAAATATATCTTTATTATCGAAAATGTAAAGTAAGAACTATAATTTATTTAATTTTTTCTTGAACGATAAACTATTATTAAAAATGTCGTATTCATCATTTAATCTATTGTATGTTTTACACATTCTGTGTAAAGGGTTGTTTTGGGAAACGTTATTAGTTGCCGAAGGTATATTAAAAAGTTGTGGCTGACGAATCGAGTGAGTATGAATTTTAAATTCCAGTTTTTCTAGTAATTTACTGTTGAAATCGCCATTGGCTATTTTATGGAGGATACATAAATCTGATATAACACGCCGATCTTCCAGGCTTTTTAGTTTGTATTTATGAAGTCTGTCAGTGTAAGTTGGTAATTCACGCCTGAGACCTTGCCGCCTGCTTAATATTTTTAGAAATTTACGTTGTATAGCCTCGATTCTGTTAATATGAATATCATATATTGGTTTCCATACGGAAGAGCAGTATTCAAGTATGCTTCTTACTATAGTGACATACAAAACTATCCACGAGATTGAATTTTTGAAAGGTTGGGCAGTTCGGATGATAAAACCGAGTGATCTATTTGCTTTACTTGTAATGTAATCTATATGAGGCCTAAAAGATAAGGTTGAATCAAATATAACACCTAGGTCCCGTACATATATTATATTTGTAATGATATTTAAAACAAGCGTTACCAGATCCCGGGTCGGGCGTGGTGGGCGGCTCCGGCGTGACGATGTTCCAGGCGGGCGTCGTGCTCGCGGCCGCGCTGCTCTTGCGCTTGCTGCTTCTACAACATACCATGGGTTTAGAACAAGAAGGAGGTTATTATGTATTAAGACGCAAAGACATTAGACTTTATTCATTTACTCATTTTTTAAGTAAAACTTCTTTACGCACGCTTGACTTTGGAGGGTAAGCTGGTAAATGCGTTACGAAAAGTATAACGTTACGGGCGAGGCGAACGTTTGTTGTCATGGTAACCGTTGTTATTGTCTGACAAATGATATGTAATATTATATTCTTTCCTTAAAAGATATTCTATTAATATATATGATAGTAATATGTCTAATATGCGTTATTTTTAGTATCTAACCTATCCTAATTATTTAAAAAATAAATTGAATTTCATAAAGAGTACCGATAACCTACAGAAGTTTTACTTCTTGCGCGTGTACACTCATACACGCACTCTTTAATATATTTTTTTGTATTCAGCCCTTTTTAACGTCCCACTGCTGGGCACGGGCCTCCTTTCAGCACGAGGGGAATCTGGCCATAGTCCACCACGCTGGCCAAGTGCGGGTTGGCGGATATATTTTTTTATTTCGTTATAATTCTCAAATTTTAATATTAAAGTTTTTCGAAATTTGTAAATTCTATATCGACTACGTAATAAAAATCTTTATCATTAATTTCGTTGTTTCTACAAACAGATATACAGATAACAACATAATTTGACAGGGTGTTTTTAGTTTTCATCGGCTCATTTATCTTGAGAATCTTAAGTTGCCATTCTGAAGGTTCTGGGTTCGAATCCTGGATCGAGCTAAAAGTGTTTCTATCAAAATAAGAGGTAAGTCGTTAGTTATAAATAAATATAAGGACATACTTGGTTTTAGGTTTGGGGGTGGTAGTTGTGGTGGTAGAGCTGGACTGCGGCCGGTTCCTCCTGCGACCACTCGACTTAGTTCTAGTCTGTGATGAAGATTCCTTCTCTAGAACATTGTCTGTGGATCTGGAACGAAATGATCATACTAATATTATAATTGTGAAAATGTATGACCGAGTTAGTGAGTGTGCTTATAATTTCTTCACGTCAAATCGTAACGGCTGAATGGTATATTATACGTATAATCGTATATAAACGTCTTTATATGTATATAAAATACCGTTGTACGTGTGTATTTACCCGACTATGCCAATAAAGTGTTTGACATGTATTTAATTCTTCTTCTCTTAAAGGGCTTGGGAAATTTTGATGATTTATTTATGTACTTAAGTTATGTATGGTCACCCCGATGGTACTTAGCTATAGCTAGTTGAACCTGGTGTGGCGCTGTTTTCAAGAGATTTGCGGATTTTTTTCTCAATTTTCCGATCAAACGAAGTCTGTGGAAGAAGTCTACCTACCGTAATCGATATAATAACAATGATATGTTGTTTGGTGGTAAGCGCATCACTTAAGAACGACCAGACCAATGTAGATATTTTTTTTAAATGTTAGTAATAAGGTTTGTAGAAAAAAAATTGGAAATACGTCTTAAACTGAAAGTGCCTAATTTTTGTATAACAAAGACAACAACTTATAACTTTTTTTTGTATATGAGTAAGTCTAACACTCACAGACTAACACCGTGTTTTTCTTTGAGCTATTTTTATGTTTTATTGTTATTTTTTTTTTCATTTTATTTGAGATGGATAGATCTGGGTAGCTTAGCTAACTTACCCCAGTTTCAGTATGTAGGACTCCTTGGCGGCCTCTATGAGCGGGTAGGGCTTGCCGTGGCAGGTGCCGCGGAAGTCGTCGTTGTCGATCGACCAGAACATTATACCTGTAAAGGGGAGTATAATTGCTATTAATATATGTTTATGTTGGTATCTTCAGTACGAGGTTTTTAAGTTTGTTACACTTATTATTATTTTAACAAAAAAGTATATTATATATAACGGTTAGTATAGACTTCTCAGACATGAGATATTTTCCCGAAGTAAAAAGTATCCTATATTTTAATCCGGATAACTAGCTATCATCATACCAAATTTCATCAAAATTCCTCTAGTGGTTTTCCTATGATGCGGTCACAGACAGACAGACAGACAAAAATTCTAAAAACTGTAGATTCGGCCTCTGTATCGATATTAATATCTATTTCAATAAGATTTTCCAAAAAATATTTAATGTACAGATACGACTTAGTTAGAATTTTATTATATGTATAGAAGATAATATCTGTATAACGTACTTAAGATACTTAATATAAATAATATATTTATTCCAACGTTTACGTTTTTTGTTCATTTAACTGTACTAGAGTTCGTCCAGTTGTCGAAATTTGAGTAAAACACATAGGAATAGAAATTACCTATCTATATAAAAAAAACTAAGTTTCCAAAGTTTTTTATTGATAACTTTAAATTAACTTTAAATTCTACAATTTACACTATTTCCTCATCTATTTCCTATGTGCGATAAAGTTTTTACCTATTATATATATATTTTAATCTATTGTAATTGCACCTATTTCAAGAATCGAACCCATTACTCCTATTAATCTTATTATTAATTAAATAAAGTAGCCTAACCTCCAAGTCCATTTTCAGCAACATATTCGGCTTTTTTCTTAACAATGTCGATATCATCGTATCCGACCCACTGGTTGCCTTTAAACGCTACTGGGCCCATCGCGTTCTTATTCGGATACATAATAGTCCATTCTTTTTCTTCTTCTTCTTCTGATTCTTCTGACTCTTCTTCCGAATATTCTTCTGAGGCGATCGCTCGTTTCTTGGTTTTTGGTTTCAGAGATTCACAGATCTATAAATTAATTTAGATTCAATGAGACATATGAATATTTCAGTATGTACATATTTTATTGCCTTAGAAGTTTGAATAACGTTAAAAATATTAAAATATTGTATAAAATAGTCTATATACATAACTTCTATATAAAATAAGCGCAAAAATGCGCCCACATTTTCTCTATAAGTCATTAGTATTAGTTACTCTTCCATAGAAGGTGAGAGAGATATATCAATTTAGTCTCAATAGATAACAATAATAAATTGAATATTTCTAAAGAACTAAATATAATAAGAAAATCACACAATTTTAAATAAAGCTATTATTTTCAATATCACAGTTTTATTTTTATTTAGTGTTTATGTTTCCGACGTTTTGAATGCTTTACAGCAATCGTAATCACGAGAAAGACTAAGGCTTTAGAAAAAAATATACAAAATTTTTAATTTGGACGAAAAAGGAAATAGCACCAATGTTTAAGGTATTAATATTTTTTATAAATAATTCTAAATTATTATTGCTACCAATATACACTTAGAAAATCCAAACATACGAAACGTCGGGAATCAAAGATTAAAATAAAACTAGAAGTCAAAACATTAAAAAATATCAAATATTCGAGGAAACCTAACAAAAAATATAATAGTTAAAGAAAAAAAAACCTCATAATACGCCAAATATCCCTTCTCCCTGGTGGCATCGCCCTGCTCGCCGGGCCCGTCCGCCGGTGAGCCTATCTCCACGGCGTCGGGGTTGAACAGTGTGTAGGATCGGCCGTACGTGGGTATGCCGAGGACGAGTTTGTCGCGGTCTGCGCCGTTCTCGAGGTAGAATTTGATGGTGTAGTCCTGTTGGAAGTATGATAAAAAAAGATAATTAGGATTTTTTTATATAACACTAGCGGCTCACCCTCGCTCCGCTCGGGTTCGCCCCTATTTACTAAAAAAATGGGGAGTGAGGGTAGGAGGGTGAAAAATAGTTTGTGACCTATTCTCAAACCTACTAAATATACAAAAAAAACATTAAAATCGGTCGAGCCGTTTCGGAGGAGTGCGACCACAAACACCGTGACACGAGATATTTACGAGTATATATTAGATAATAAATAAAAATGTAAACCTCTAAAATTTAGAAAACCTAACAATATATATTTAGTTTCATAATGGACTTTATATGATTCTTTATTTTGAAAGAGCAACTCTGAATAAATTATTTTCTTGATTTGATTTTGCTCATCGTGTTGAAAATAACTCGTTGAAACTCGAACAGACGAATTAAATATAACGTGTTTTTTAATATTTTTGAAACATGCGATGGCTACCACACGGAAACGTAGAATGAAGTATGATGACATATACCAGAGTGAGGTAACTTGGTGGAGGGTAGTCAAAAATTATTTATGACTGCTCTCTAAATATCCGTGGATGGCTGACGCGTGGGTGTAGGTACAAACTGTAAATTAAATCGCAAAGAATGAAGCTGCGAAATATAATTATGTATTAAGTTGTTGCCTACTAAAAATTATTGATATTGCTTGAAATGGGACAGTAAATTAAATATGATGAATGTACTTTTGTTGTAAAAAAACCTTACTCACTAAAATTAAGTAACAAAATGAATGACAAGTGAACGCATGGTTTTCACAGCAATCATGGATGATTGCTGTGAAAACTATCCGTTCACTTGTCATTCGTTTTGTTACTCAATATCGATACATATAATAAAATTGTAACTAAGCCGAATCTGTACATTAAATATTTTTTGGAAAAAAATTTATTGAAATAGACATTATTATCGATACAGAGGCCAAATCTAAGTTTGTAGCATTTTAGTTTGTTTGACTGTCTGTCTGTCTGTGACCGCGTCACGGAAAAACCATTAAAGGGATTTTGATGAAATTTGGTGTGATGATAGCTGGTTATCCGGGTCAACATATAGCATACTTTTTACTACGGGAAAATATCTCATCTCTGAGAAATCTACACTAAATGTTAAAACGTAAGCAGGGATGAACCCGAGCGAAGCGAGGGTGAGTCGCTAGTTTATTATAATAATAGCAATATACATTCGAAACGTAATAGATAAACGCGAAGGACAAATGCAGTAAATATATTTGAATGAAAGCGTTGCGCTATGGTCGTGGGAACATTAAAATAGCTAAACTAAATTAAAGATTAGCTTCACACTTTAAACGGGGTGTTGTAACTTGTAATTTATGTAAGATGGGTACACTTCTAGTTTTTGAACTTTTCATAAAAATATGAAGTTAAAGATTTTCTAATTCTTAAAATATAAAAACTGAAATCAGCTTATAAGAGAGATCAGTTTATGTAAACGTTTATAATATGTTTAGAAATCTATAAATGTATAATCTATAGGTAAGATATTCATCGACACGTAAGCGTTTTATTTATTGATATTTTAATAGGACAATCAAATAAATATAAGTTAAATGTAAAAATTACTAAAAATATATTTTTTTTTGCGTTATTCCACCCGTTTTCTTATATACTTATTTGCGTTACTCCTGGCGTTTTTATATGTTTTATTGCGTTACCCAAATCCGTCCATCCGTTTTACCGTGAAGGAGAAACATACACACATACTCACAAACAAACATTCCTATTTAAAATACTCTTCCGACTTACAATCAACTTGGTTTAATAATAATCGTGACATTTAAACATCAAAGTACTCACAATATTAAGTTCATTATCGACGCTGTATTCATTGGGTTCTTCGAGCGGGTAGAGTGGCGCGTGGTGATTGACCGCGGGCTCGAAGGCCGAGTGGTAGTCGTAGGTGAGCAGGTTCATCCAGTCCAGGTATCTAGGGAAATGTTTTATTTTCACTTCATTGTCCTTATTTATTGAGGAAATACTTAATTTAATTTACTTTATTGATTTGCATGACAAAGATGAATACTAATAAATCATGCTCAATCCTTATAAATATATAATTATTAAAGTTATTTTTAAAATAATTATTATTTAAGCTTATTATTTAGTTAGAATTCGTCTTGTCTGTAAAAAATCGATGTCATAATGTCATAAAAACCTATTACTTTCATTTCCATTTCATGTAATTAAACTATACGTATCTACAAGGGTAAATATATGTTAAAAATATAAAAATAATCTGATCACTATGAAATAGCAAAAAGAACTATAATTAATTAAAGCTTTTTAAAATAGGAAACGCCGCATTCCAAGAATTTAAAAATAAACTAAGATTAATCATATTAAATGTACTTTTATGTATTAAATTATACTTAAGATAAACACGAAAAATTTACATATATTCGTTACTTTATTCACAGATTTTTTAACTCTGTTTTCTCGTTAAAAACAACATAAAAGGGCAAAAATTTACAATTAATGCACACAAAAGTTGTATTTTCGACTATTTTCCATTGAAATAAGCTATAGAATCCTTTATTTGATCATTTATATTCTATGAATAGAGTATTACATTAATTCGCGTGCTCTTCTAAAGGTCAGGGTCTATCGTAGTTTAATTGTGCAACCTAAGTTCTCTGTATATGGAAGGTACTGGTCAGACACGTCGCGCTCGGATGGACCTATTGATTTACATTATAATATAGAGGCATTATATGCACTCATTGTTTATGGAATTTGTGATCCAGGAGGAAGAGGAAGCTTAGCCTTTACAAAGCTTAAGTTAAGTTTTGCTTACACTTTTATATTAATTCAGAATTCTGATTTTTTAATTTAATGGATATGGGAAAGTTACAACAAGAGAAACAATTCTTCCTTCTAGTTAGATAAATTTACCAAATCACATATTACAAAAAATATCTACTTTGAAATAAAAATATTAAAAAAATATATATACAGACGTTCTACCACTTTCATAAAAAAAAGTATTCAATGTAAGCTACATTTTTGGCTTGCTCTCCTTATTTTTTTACCAAATTATTGGCTAGCCTATATGTATATAAATAGGACTTCGGTCACCAATCAAAATATACTTTGCCCAAATAGACTTTTACGTTTTTAATATGTTTTATACGTTTCAATTGACAATTATGTTTTTTTTTCTGAAACTATATTCCTGCGGACGCCAAGGTCCAAAGTTTCCACGCCAAACTTGAATTATATTTTAAATACAAATATTATTTCTAGTTTGTTTAATTTTATTACACGAGGTTTTGTTTATCTCTTTCAATTGTAGCAAAAATTATATGATCTGAACAGCACTTAAATCAATTACAATATTAATTATTCCAAATAACTCTCGATCTATTGACTAACTATTGATCCAATTTAGAATTTAATTAAATGTACTAAAAAACTAGAATATCCTTTACATGTCCGAACCACAAAAACAAATATCTACCTATTTTAGTCGAAGTAGTGAATTATATTTTAATTTGTAATTATAATGTATCTAACGACTATCCTAATATCGGCATGATGTCACCGCAAAAATTCAAGTCTAAACAGAAACAAGTTTTTTCATAATTTGAAAAGAACTTTGCGACAAATATGTTGATACATGTTTTACAAAAATTGTTTATAAATTTTAATGAAGTTATTAAATATACTTTGTAAATAACTCAATAAATACATAAGTATCATTAGTAATGATGAAAATGTAATAGATAATTAAAAGTTTTTGTAAAGCTAAGGTAGTTAAAGACGTATGAATATATTCAGCGCTTTTTAACGTCCCACGGCTGGGCCCACGTAGGCTAAGTGCGGGTTGGTAGATTTCACATATCTTTCGAGAACTTGCTAGGTTCTCTTATACATGCAAGTTTTCACACGATGTTATTTTCACTGTAAGACCACTAGTAATCATGTTAAAAAAACCCGTCCATGAAAATATCAGAGGGGCTAGACTCGGGATTTGAACCCGTTTCAGTTGCTTTTCCAAACAACGGCGCTACCACTGCCATAAATATTAATATATTCAACCCTATAGGTATATATATACTCATATTTTAAATTATTAAACGTCTGCATATCACTTTTTTTCTCGTTAATTTTTCCCTTCTCTTTAGTTCGATTTTTGCGTAGTCGGACTTTTTTTATATCTATAATCTAATCTATACATATAATAAAATTCTAACTGAGTCGAATCTGTACATTAAATATTTTTCAGAAAATCTTATTGAAAGAGTCATTATCGATACAGAGGACGAATCTATAGATTTTAGAATTTTTGTCTGTCTGTCTGTCTGTCTGTTACCACACCACGGAAAAACCACTTGACAGATTTTGATTTTTTTACTCCGAGAAAACAGCTCATCTTTGAGAAATCCAATGTTCCCAGGGACAAACCCAAGCGGAGTGAGAGTTAGCTATATATAAGGAGTAATTAAGATGTTTATTTAAATACAAAATCTAATCTCTCTATTAAGCTTGACAGATGAACTACTTTTGAAATATTAATAATAATAATCTTTAAAAAGAAGTTTAGCGAAAGTATACCTAAATATATGTTAGATCTCTTTCTCAACGAGCTTGAAAGGCAAATATTTTGACAATCAAAATAAAATAGCTATTGTGTGAAGTTAATATCATTATTACGGTTCCGAAATGCAAAGTAAACAGAGCATCGTGTTGAGACGAATTAAATCTGTTTCATCACTATACTTTATGAATCGTTGGGGTTGCTATATGACAACGTTTTTATTGGATAACCGGTCTAGATAAAGACACAAAAAGTTTCCAAAATGACAACTAGTTTTTACTTCAAAAAAAGAAGTATCTAATTAAGAAATTAAACTAATTAACTAATAAAATATACTATGTTTTTTATTTAATGATTATATTGTTTTTATTCAGCCTTATGTGATTTTCCATATATACAACTTCATAAATTACAAATATTACTATTTAAATCTCTAAAGAGAATGAATTTGAAAAAATCATTTTATTCATAATATGTTTAATGGATCGAATAGGGATACCGTCGAGCAAAATTTCACTTAGACCTAGACACAATTGAGCTAATAAAACGAATTTAAGGTTTTCTTTAAATATATGACAGACTAAATAACATTTAGAGTGTACTTTAGAAAGCTGATAATCAAATTTTGAGCTGAAATTTAGCAAAACTTCATTTTAATGTAAGACTTATCTCCAACGAATATTTGGCGCATTCAATTATTTTTCGAGATATCGACTTTTGATAGTCAAAAGAATTTGAATGATTGATCCACGTATTTTAGTCTATACCTACTATAACTATGCCATACATCACAGGACAATTTCAAGACCACCATAAAACATATCCACCCTACTCCCCTAGCACTCCCATTATACTTACAGAGAGGCATTGTCTCAACATTGTATCTATGCAATAGTGAATTATCATCAAGAGATGGAAGTGATTATGAAAGATTCACTTTTTGTTCATTCTAAATATAGTTAAAAACATGTCAAAATTTAGTAAATTTAGGTCATAAGATCAGATTTGGTTCAGCAAAATTACTATTTATAAGTGCAACACTATTGTTTTTAATTTGTTGGCAAGTTTTTCTTCATACTTGATGTATTGGGATTTGGAAGGACGTAGATTGTTACAAAGAGATGTCTTCTAGGCTAAAATCTAGGACACTTTTGTTCAAGGTCACGGGAGTGACCTGGCTGAGGTAGCTTATTTATTTATTTATTAAAGTACAACCAACGAAAGATACATTAAAAACGGTATGGTATTCATGTGTTAACAATTTCATAAATGTTCTTTTTATTTTAGGTTATCACAACATGCTTTTTTTTAAACGTCAGTAAATTACGTCAGTAACATTTAATTACAGGATGCAAGTTTAATTTAAAAAAATAATAATAAGTTAATAGATAAAATTGAAATTAAATTATAAAATTAATAAATATGACAATTGAAATACCTATAAAAATTACAGTTATTAGTTATATGTATATAGTTATTAGTTATATAGTTATAGTATTTGGTTGAATAAAGTGAACTCCACTTATCATTGAAGAGCTTCCACTAATCATATATGATTATATAGAAGCTTGTCAATATCATATTGTAATTTTTATGTCATTGGCTAAACATAATTCTTGGAATATATTATCAACTAGAATCGCTAATAATTTCCTCTTTAGAAGCAATGTTAATATACGTACCAGTGTCGGTTATTCACAGTAGTAAAATGTAATCAATTATTTGCCTGTATTAAAGCCTTAAAGTGGATTTAATATTCCAACACCGATTTCATATGACATACTTCGATACGCATGACTTTATGACATGCTGTTTGGTCCATGTTAAAAACTTAGTGTTATCTGTACTTTGCGCTTCCCATGTAAAAAAATCATTAAACATTTGGATCCCCTTAAATGTAGGTAACTATGTCAGTCCCCATAAACTATCTTATAGCAGTAATCGTCGCCTAAATAATTAATTTCTTAACGATAACGAGAACAAGTTATCATACATATTTTCGTTTTAATTGAATTATTAACATAATATTAATTATATATTTTTTTATTTTGACTTTTACACTTACTAATCTTAACTACAATAAATAATGTCCTCCCGACCGATTTCGACCACGGCGGCAAATCTCACTGAGACTAGCCATCTACGCAAGAGATATTATAGTGTACAAGTGTGATGCGCACGCGCAGACATAAGTGCACTCTCTGTTCCTTTTACTCTCAAACTCCGATGGGACGATACTTCGACACGACTGGTGAGAGTTAAGGTGCAGGACCGTCGGCTTTACGTGCTCTCTGAGGCAGGGGGGTGAAACACCGCCAACTTTCCAACTCTTTTTTTTTTTTTAACGTTGGGAAATGCATTTACGCACGACGTGTGGGACTCACCGGCGTAATACAGCCAGTACTACCCACTAAAACCCAACAAAACCTTCCCCCGTCTTAATGGGGCGTCGCAGGATCGCTTACGCATTCAACTACGACGCCTCGACGGCAGGTCTGCCAAAGCAGACCACCACAATCATGGGGTTGTTCCAAGGTCCACTCTGCTATCAGAGAAGTACCAGGAGCAAGGTACACCGCCCCCCGAAGAGGGCCACCTCCCACCGCCCACCGAAGTGGGCAACCTCCCTGTGCGTTTCTTAGCTTCGCTACCACTACTGAGCCCCCCTACCACGACAAGGTGAACGCACGTTGGGGGGGAACTTTCCAACTCTGGGCTGAGAATATCTTAACAGAAAAACTCAGTAATTAAACTTGGCCCAAACCCAGAACTTCCGGATCTGAGCCTTACATGAATTAGAACGCCGTTAATGAAACTAGAACGCCGAGGCATGTAAAAAGTATAACACCGAGTGTTATCGCCTCTACTGGTGACAAGAGAACTGGCTCGTTGTTCGTCCAAAGAATCAGCAGTGCGATTTTGCGGCAGAATGGAGCTAACATTCTTGTTACAATTCCACGCGGACATGGTTTGTAAGTTATAGTGAGTGTATTAATAGTAAGTGCACCTAATAAGTGTACATTTATTTTGTATATATATAACAAAGTACATTTATTATTTCAATGTATTTTTCTATTTTTGCTTCTCCTAACTGGAGATAGGAATTTGATATTAAAATTGTATGGAATTTATGTCAAATGTATATCGCCAGTAATGAAAACCACAGACAGATAGGTTATTGGGATTGACCGTAAGTCTTTGGTAAAGTCTACACTTTAGACCAACCTGTGGTTATTAAGCAATGTGACATTGAATTAGAAAATGAAGTAACGTGTGTGACACTCGTGGCGCAACGCGATATTTATTCACACTTCGTTTTAGCGTCAATGGGCAACCTATTTACGATGATCTTGAAGTTCGATGTATGGGTGTTACTAATTATATTTGCTCAAGTTATGAGCTAACGTCAGTATACTGTGCCCTAAATTTCTTTTTTGTATTTTAAGTTGCAATTTACTTTTTCAACGCATTAATAGGTACTTAAGGGTAATCCCCTACCAAAAGCTGCGCTAAACGTGTTTTACGACGATATTTAGAAGCTATTCAGTCCGTTTTTAATAAATGTAAAAAAAATATATTATACCTATCTTCAACATTTTGCCGTCATATTACATGATAACATAGTTGTTTTAGATCCTCACTACTAAAGAAATAAAATTCGAAATTATTGCTGTAATCATGATTTTTTTTATTCTTTGCAATATACCTACACATGAATTACATTACACTCATATAAATGTATTAAAAAGTTTACAATATTTGACAGATCATTTTAAAATTGATATTTTACTGTTTAATTTTTTTTAAAAGATCAATTTCAATTTCTGTTTTGGATCAATATTCAGAAATCAATGAAAATTTTCGAGTGAGGGTACGGCGCGGGGGCCAGGCGACAATTGATGGGCCGAATGTGGAAGATTGTTTGCTCGGAGGACGGAATCTTATCTTTGGACGAACCAAAAACTACAATTTCTTATTTATATTTTTACCTACAAATTCTTTTAGCGTCATCATTTCCTCTTCAAAAATTGAGTATAACTTTATATGTATGTATCCCAAAATGTTAGTGTGCTTAGAACTTACCTAATATTATAATTCATATTTTTTATTATACGACTATATTTAACAGAAAACTTCAAAAAAACGATAAGGCTGAAAAAGCTCAAGTTAAATGACAAAATTTGTAAAAACTGTAACTTTCTTTAATTGTCATTATACTCCCCAGACACAAATTGATTTAAAAAAATATCAATATATATTTTTTTCATTAAAATTAAACAGTTATGAGTACACTAATATTATAAAGAGGCAGAGTTTGATTTGTTTGTTTGAACTATAACGCTAATCTCAGAAGCTTCTAATTCGATTTGAAAAATTCTTTTTTTCATTACATAGCCTGTTTATTGAGGAAGGCTATAGGCTATATATCATCATGCTACTACCCAAGGGAGCAGAGCGGCAATTATAAATTTCGACAAATCGGGCTGACTTCTATACATTATTATAAAGGGAAGGGAAAGAAGAGTTTGTTTGGTTCTGCTAGTAATAAATAGTTTTGTATGATATAACCGATTCAATCGCACATCACACGTTATATGAGATTTATTGCATTAATAAATCTCAACGTACAAATACCAAGGCTAGTTGAAACTTTCGAAATAATTTTTTTACTTGTGTCATCGTAAACATTAATGATTGTCATAAAATTAACTTTAATTCATAATAATTGTTAACATTTCCTCAACTATTATTATTATTGTTGAGTTGCAAAATATAATAAATACCAATTGCAATATTAATATAAATATCAATAATCTTTATAAAAACCTTATATTTTTTGCCATATTTCATATAATATTTCACGTATATGACTATTGTCCGATTAAGCGTATCGATTTAATTATTATTAATTATTAAAATTTCACAATCGAATAGAAAGGAATCAAATCATGTTATATGCATAATTAAAAGGTCACGAATAAACATGAAATATTTTCCAAGTATTTGATCTTGAAATGGATGTAATCGAAGACTAAATACGAGACGAAAATACTAGTAATATAAATTATGTAGGAGTAAAATCTGTTATTTCCAATAATTTTATTACAGTTACAAATGCTATACAAAAAGACTAGGAAAACCCGCGGCTTCGCTCGCGCTAAATCTACATAAAACAATCCACATATCTCGTGTCTGCCACGACACCTTCGGGTACATTAAAAATGAATGCCAAATGAACTGAATTAATTTTTTTCGATATCTCATTTCGTTTTCGAGATATTAATTTTTTTCTCACCGAAATCAGGCGAAAATTGACCGCATTTCTCATTTTTTTGATTTTTTAAAAAGTTTGTGGGTTCTTTAAAAAAAAATTTTTGCATTTTAAAGCCCTCATTAAGACGCGTCTTTTGAAATCCCAATCAGCTACGTAGTCCTAAAGCCCACGACACTAGGGTGATGTTAAAATTCTTTGAATTTATGCTATTAGTAATAAAAATAATTATTACTCCTCCACTCTCATGGGTAGTATAGCATGATGATATATAGCCTATTATACCCTTCCTCAATAAACGGGATATGTACCTACTGCAAAAAGAACTTTTCAAATCGGATTAGTAGTTCTTGAAATTAGCGCGTTCAAACAAACAAACTCTGCCGCTTTATAATATTAGTATAGATATATAAAACTTGTCAAATAATTTTAATATCTGGGGCATTCATAGATATTACTTGAGTTTCTCTTCCATGTTTATTAGCAGTAAGTTCACTAATCGTTAATTCATAAAACTATCTTCGTTAGAGCGATAAAGCCACTATTTAGTCTTCTATTACTACACCACACTATATACTGTTATTCACTATTTATTTATTTTTACAAAAGCATAAGTATTCATATGGTAAAGTTATTGGAGATGGTAATTTCAGATGACTATCATTGTAAACTGCTTTTGCTTTTTTCTAAAACTAACGAAAAAATATAAAAGCAAACGATACCGCAGTCAAAAGTATAAATATTTAATTCATTGATAGGTAACTGCTTAGACGCATGGAATATAAGCGTTTTTGTGCTTCAGAGAACACGTTGAGATGTTGCACACGGTTGTTAGCGATTGTCATCAAACATTCATCTATATCACAACGTCCACCTCGTAATTCAAACTGACTTAATGTTGTTTTTTATTATTATGATATTAATATGATATCAAACATCAAAAAAGTAATACTTTAGTAACAATTAACACGGTGGCCAGTCCCTAACATGTACAGCAGCAGATCCGGAAGTACTACATTCGAGTCTCGGGTACTCAGGACAGTAACAGTCCGGAGTTGGGATGTTGGCGGTGTTTCACCCCCATACCTTGGAAAGAACGTAAAGCCATCGGTTTTGTGCACTAAAATATCTCTTAAGGAGATTAGCCGCCTTGGCCTAAATCGACCCGGAAGACATTACTTTAGAAACTTACCGATTTAAAGTCTTCACATCGAAGCCCTTTTGTATATACTCAATTCCAGCAGGCACAGCCATAGTTAGGAGAAGACGAGGCTTGCCAGTCTTCTCAGATTCCCTATCGAACTCCTCACGCAATTCCTTCACTAACTTGGCGTAATTCTCTCTGTCTTTTGGCTTTCCACCGTCCCTGAAGGCTGGGTACTCCCAGTCCAGGTCGAGACCGTCGAAGTGGTTTTGTCTAAGGAACTGTGGACAGAATATTTAATCTGTATAACTTACTGTAGTATATTCTAGAATGTATTATGTATCAACTATTTTCTCGGATTTTGTCACGTTTTCCATTCAATTCGTGCAGAAATAGAATTCGCTATCTGTTACGTATAAGTTGACGTCAATTACCTAACTGAACCTAACAGCTTAGTGATACATCGCGTCGTTTAATTATTGACATCCAGAATTTGTTTTGTATGTCTACAATTCAAATAGTTAAAAAGTTATATAAGCAGTATTGGTTTCTACAATAAAGTGAAATCACTCAACATATTACACAAGAAATAATATGGCATTTCTGGTCTCTTTGCACTAATCTTAGATATTACTGAACTACTTATAGCCATTTTCCTTACTATGTAGAAATATATACATATACATTTATGTGTGTTTTTGTCATAGCGTGGTCAGGGTGATAATAAAGTAAGATAGGTTGCTAAACATCAATCACTTTAATTATGTGTGTATGTTTGTTATGCTAAAACGACTAAATAGATTTGGATGTAACACAGATTGACTATGACCTTGAGTAACACTGCTACTATAGTACTACTAGACTACTAATAAATAAACAAATATAAATATGTTGGGACATTAACACACAGCACCGTCTAGTTTCATAGTAAGCTACGAGACTTGTGTTTTGGATACCAGATAGTTGATACACTATACGTATACATCGACTTTACATACATACATATTATAAATATAAACACCCATGAGTGGAGTACAAACATTTGTGCTTATCACAAAAATGAATGCCCTTAGCGGGACTCGAACCCGCGACCGCTGAGACAGCTAGTATGGTCATTGGAAATGAGCCAAACGTATCGTCATAATAATATTACTATTGATAAAACGGTGGCGCTATCTATATATAACACTACAAGTACAAAAGCTACATAGGGTTGCTCCCAAGCTAGGCGAGGGTCAGAATATAAACTGCAGCAATTTATTTCGCTGTGGGAAAATAACTCCAAGCAACTTTGTCATGGCATTCAATAAATTACCCACATATTTGATAGAGGTAAGAATTGTAGCTATGTCAGTACTGAGAGTGAGTACATTCACTAGCAAATGGCCAACAAAGTCAGGTATCCGCTTGCACTTTAATAACGCCTAATGATAAGAGAAAGTGAAAACAACCTGCGAGCTGTGTCCAGCTTTCAAAATCTGCAGTGTTTCTACTGAGATGTAAAGATATGAAATATGAATATGCACTTTTTCGTGCATATGTTTTTTTATATAGAGATAACTAGCGACTCACCCTCGCTTCGGCATACAATCAGGATGAAAGTTCGTCCCCATTTTCACCCTCTTAAAGGACGATTTCCGGGATAAAAACTATCCTATATCCTTCCTAGGGTCTCAAACTACCTTCTTACCACATTTCATTTAAATAGGTTAAGTAGTTGTAGAAGTACAAACAAAAAAAGACACAAAAAAATCTTTCCTTTTTATAATATTAGTATGGATTTTAATACGATAGACATCCTGCCACAGACCTCGGTTTTTTTGAAAAATTGGAAAAAGTCTGGATCTGGCCAATGAAAAATGAAATCGATAACATCTATGAATAATTACTGTTGCTTAGCCTAGAGGCCTAGTCCCGAGTTTCTAATTAAAGGTTTTGTAGAAACTTTCTTTATGTGCTACACAAAACTGCTTAGAAATTATTATTAGGTGGTGAAAATGGACATTATTTTTTTAATCCGAGCGGTGTGTCAGATACCTATCATATTATGCCACGATAATGAAGTTCGTTAATTTAAAAATTAACTAACATTTTGCCAACAGTCTATCAATAAGTACTAATTTATATAACTACACTGTACACAGTACGTCCGGGTTCAATCGACGAAAAAACACCACAAACACCGTGACAACCCAAAAGAAGCCCAACAGGACTTAAAGTCTTAAACCAAAAGATATGAGTAAGATAAGCCAACGGAGACTAGTAACTGACAGAATTCAGTTTAAAAATATAACATTTTCTTTAAAATAACCTATTTAAATAAATAATAAGACTTACTTTAATAGCATTCCTAACGAACTCCTTCCTTCTATCCTTAGCACCGACCATCGGTGAGAATCTCGTTGAGCCCTCATTCCAGCCACCAATAGCCAGCAAAGTCTTCAAATTTTTGTTGTACGTTTTGAGCCCCGTAAACTTAGCGTAACCACCTACGAATGCAAAGCAAAGTTGTTATTATAAAATTTAATTTAATTTGTTTTTTTTCCATTTGTGAGAACTATTTAAAAAAATCTTATCAAATAATAAAATTAATATCTTTACATATAATAAAATTCTAACTAAGTCGAATCTGTTATTAAATTTTTTGTTTTTAAAATATTATTGAAATCGTTATTATCGATACAGAGGCCGGATTTATAGTTTTTAGAATTTTGTCTATCTGTCTGTCTGTAACCGCATCATGAGAAAACCACTGGACAGATTTTGATGAAATTTGGTATAATGATAGCTGGTCATCCGGGTCAATATATAGGACACTTATTACTGCGGGAAAATATCTCATCTCTGAGAAATCTATACTAAAATGTAAATCGTAACTAGGAACGAACCCGAGCGGAGGGTATGACATGTCTACCTAAAGGCGCGGGAAAAATTAAAATCTAAACGTCACGTTTTTTTATTATTAAGGTTGCATAGATAAATACTCTTTTCTGAACAAAAATCACTACATAGTATAAAACAAAGTCGCTTTCTCTGTCCCTATATCCCTATGTATGCTTAAATCTTTACAACTACGCAACGGATTTTGATGCGGTTTTTTTTTAAAGATAGAGTGATTCAAGAGGAAGGTTTATATGTATAATACATGCATATTATAGTACAGAAACGCCGAGAAATTCAAAGATTTGTATTTCTTATTAACTGTTAAAATGAATCTAGGGACGAACCCGAGCGAAGCGAGGATGAGTCGCTAGTGTTCAATAAATCAAATACATTTAATATTTTTTTATAAAATATATCTTATATAAAATGAAATCTTATATTTTTAAATTAAATGTTAAATTAAATAGAAACCAATATCTAATTTAAAGTCTCTAATAACAGATTATTCTTATAAAATAAAAATATATCTGTATATATGAAAAATTCTGTAATTTTAATTGACTTACACATTATAATAATTATAAGGAAATTAACTATATGTTTTTATTAATTTATCGCGTATTGATTAAGTTATCGCGTACGGATATCAGTTATTATTATCGTAAAAGTTGTATATTTCAAGTCCTATTATTATATGTTTTTCAATGGAAGGATGCGAATTATTATAATATTTACGAAAGGAAGCTACTCCCTTCCGTTGAAAAATATATAAAGGGCGAATGCATTTATTGAGAGTCAAGTTGATCGTAAAATTTCCATTATTCTCTTGGTGTTTATAATATTTGTGTCAAGGACTTTGTGGTATTTAAGATCGTTAGGTTTAGGATATGACGTTTCTGGCATATGACGTTATGTTTTGTGGACTTTAGTCAATGTGACTTTGTAAGTACAGGTCTATAAATTATTTGAGTGAAATTAACGTTTTATTTCAGGGTTAAATTAAAAACATTATTCTTATATATTAACGTCCTGAATTTAATAAACTAAAGAAACTACTATCATATTAATTATTCAGTTGGACGTAGTTATGCAAAATACATCCAACCACAAAAACTTACTTTTGAGAAAATAGGAGTTATAGTAAAATTGGTACATAGAAATAACAAAAACTTAGTTTTTTTTACATTCCTCTTAAATATTGGGTATTTTATCTACTTTCTGTATATAAGTTGATTATTACAGCCATTTATTAAAGTAACTCAAAAAACGGTTTTCGTGGCCTGGATCCATTTTGCATAACTACGTCCAGTTATCAAACAGAAAGTTTCTCAATAGACGGGATTTAAAAGTTAGTCACTTGCCATGCCATAAATTATGTAACTACATATTAAAAAAATATTTAAATTTTTGAGGCATAGGTTAGTCAATATGTTCCACGTAAACAAACAAGTTAGCTTTCACAGGCTATTTAATCAACCAGTGTTTATTCAACGATATGAATAGCTTAATTTATTTTAACAATTTTATACCCTTTAAAGTTTAAACTATCTAAGTCAGACTGCTTGGATAACAATTGCTTGGTTTTACTTTTACTACAATTAGAACAATATTTTACTGATAAGAAGTTAAATGAAAGTATCTTTATGAAGACAATTGCTTTGCTTTGTATCGACTGGCACCAACTTCGAAATTATTTGATTAGGTATGTATAGTAAATGAAAACTACCAATCAGTTATTTTTTACTTTTTAATGCTTTTGTTTGAAGTCGGTTTTTATCTTTTTTGTTAAAAAGTTTTTATTTTTCCCTTTTTAGTGTAGACAGTAGTAGCAAAGTAAGAATTCTAACGGCTTGTCAAACCAAACAAAAACTTTTTAACAAAAAAATAAAAACCGACTTCAAACAAAAGCACTAAAAAGTAAAAAATAACTGATTGGTAGTTTTCATTTACTATACATACCTAATCAAATATTTTCGAAGTCGGCGTGCTTTGCTTTGTATGGGCTGGCACCGATTTCGAAAATATTTGATTAGGTATGTATAGTAAATGAAAACTACCAATCAGTTATTTTTTTACTTTTTAGTGTTTTTGTTTGAAGTCGGTTTTTATTTTTTTGTTAAAAAGTTTTTATTTTTCCCTTTTTAGTGTAGACAGTAGTAGCATAGTAAGGATTCTAACGTGTTAGGCTTGTCAAATCAAACAAAATAAGCCCAAACTCAAAGTATCTACTATTAGCCGTTGAAGAGTTTCACCTATCCACCTTCTGGCCTTGCCATCAGATCAGGTCAACAACACCGAACCACTGTACTATCAACGAAAATAGAAATACTTGCAAAGTTTCAAGTCAATATGACAATTAGAAGTAGGTTAAATTCATCATTAGTTGTTTTTCCACCCTTAGGAGTGGTTTTTTTTCTGGAAGTATACACTTTCAATCAACACAAAAATTGTCCAAATCGGTTAATAAATGACGGAGTTCTGAGGTAAAACATAAAAAAAAATACAGTCGAATTGAGAACCTCCTTCTTTTTGAAGTCGGTTGAAAACACTAAATAATGATAGCATTCAATTTATATTTAAATACAATACATTTTACCTAAATAAAATATAATATTGTATACTTATAAGTTAAGTTTATACAGTAGCTAGAGAAGTGTTGTTGTGTTAAACTCATGTCAAGTAGTTATTTTGCGTTTAAAAATAAATAAATATTAATATTCCACAAAAAATATTTTCCTAACAACATTAAATCGTACGCTTTCTACAACGGTAAGAGTAGATCGGACTTAGTTTTTATTTCTATAATCAATAAACTGTATTATTATCAATAAATCAATTATTCATTACAGTTTTCATTATCAAGGTTATAAATATTATTAAACTACCATTGCCAGCGGCTCCGCCCGCGTTTAGATGACCAAAAACCAAATTCTTAGGTTTTAAATATTAGTATACTCTTACATTGCAGTTTTTGTATTTTTTTTTCTCAGAAATGAGACATTTTCCCGCGGTAAAAAGTATCCTTTATGTTGACCCGGTTAACCAGCTATCACCATACCAAAATTTCATCAAAATCCCTCTAGTGGTTTTTCTGTGATGCGGTACCAGACAGACAGCCAGACAAAAATTCTAAAAACTATAGATTAGGCTTCTGTATCGATAATAATGTCTATTTCAATAAGGTTTTCCAAAAAATATTTAACGTACAGATTCGACTCAGTTAGAATCTTATTATAAATATAGATAATACATTGATTTCCTATTTAGGGAGGAAGTGGTCTTTCTCATAATTTAAATTGTACTATGGGCTGTTTAACATTCGAATCTTAATTTAGATACTACGCCATTGCAGTTCAGCGAACAGTTTATTTTATATTCAAAACTATAAATTTAATACTTAGTAATAATTCTGTAAATATTATTACTATATGTATTTAAAATACTGCGTCAAAATTATGTACATATTATGTATGTATGTCTCTTTTCACTATGGTCGATAATTCAATCCTTGCGTAAAACAATTTTCATATTTTTAAGCTTAAGTAATTAGTTATAAGTAATTAAATACATTTAAAATTTAAAACATACCTACAAATTGTTTTATTTTCACACCGTCTATGACTTTATTAAATTACGTCGTTAGAGACCCCGCACACGAAAGAACATTCAGTATTAACATAAAACAAATAATTATCAAAATTAAAAATGCAGGTCTACAGTATGCTCAGGGTCATTGCTAAAATATACATACCTTTCTCAATATCCTGGTATTTGTCGAAGGGTTTTAAAGTGTTTTCTTTTGTGAAGCCTCCAAAAGCGTAAACGAGATGAGTGCACAGATAGGGGTTGATGTTCTGTGGGTTGAACTTTGCTGTACCCGGACGATACACCGACCAGTTTGTGTAGTAGCACACTACCCGCGGTGAGCTTGAGAGTACTGTGGGAAGAAATAAATTTGTTAGAGTTACTATATTTTTATGTTATTAATAAAATTTTATCACTATCACTACGTAGTATAAAACAAAGTCCCTATGTATGCTTAGATCTTTATAACTACGTAATGGATTTTGAAACGGTTTTTTAATAAATATAGTGATTCTAGAGGAAGGTTTATATACATAATATACTAGAGAAACACAGATCATTTTAGAGGTTTCTAATGTGATGGCGTAAACAAACACATTTTTTTGCGCTTTCATTGCAAACGCTGGCTGAATCCTACGAGATAGATCAAAATAATGTACTACAGTATTGTATACCTTAAAAAGGTTTAGAAAAAAAGTCCACGATGCCATATGTCTATCTATAAATAAAAAATTAATGAGTATTATATAGATTATCATAAAGTTTTCACTAATGGAGGAAATCTCAAATTTGCAGAAATATGAAGATGTCGGAGAAAAACTTTATTGTAACGGAGCTTTATTGGCGTGCACCGCTTAAATCAACAGAGTTATATGAGAACAATGTACTCGTATTACGGAATTATTCCTCTTGAAAAGATCTATTAAACTGTAGAAACGCATAAGTATTATTATACAACGTATGTATGTATTAAACATTCAGTTAAATATAAATATAATAAATAAAATAAATAAAAATTGTTAATATCATCTTGTAGATTGCATTTATTGTGACAGATCACAGATTATTGTGCAGATTTTCTTAATATACCATCAACTTTTTATGCTATCGTTTATAGAGATTTTATTGACTTCTAGCTTATTTTCTTTTAAAAAGAACAAAATTTACTACTTTTAAATCTCTACAGAAGTAAGAAATAATAAGAGTGTATACTATACGTATATTGCATTTTGTTATGTTAATTTCTTGCTTTAGCAATTTTAGAGAGAGAGAAAAACATACAATATTTGTAGCATTACAATTTAAATTTTATTTATTCAGTTAATATTATTTCATAATTATGATTTTTAAATTAATTTTTTTTTAAATGAAAATGGTTAAAATATGAGTAAGAAAACTTTTATACTAGGAAAAACATATAAAATTGTAAATGCAATAAGATTTTTTATACTAAAGTATAATTATAAATTGCTATTTTGCTCTACTTTTCTCTATAAAAACTATTAGTAATGAGTCGCAACAGTTGCGGAAATTGATTTTCACGGTACTGAATAGTCATACTTGTTAATGAAGTGTTTTATTGAAAAGAAACGTTTAATAAGGCATTTTTATGTTTTACAGTTACAAAATTTATGTTTAGGAGATTTATGTTATTTATGTTTACTTTATTTATAAGTAAACTGTGTCTGTTTGTCGCTAAATTTAAAATAGTTTATTATAGATATTTTATTTGTATCGAACGTATTACACTTAGAAATGCCCAATGTTTTCTTATAGTTTATGCTACGTTCATGGTCCTCTATTTACTATAAAATCTCTACAGAAAAATAAAATTGAAGTGTCTGTAATGTTGAAATCAAAGATTTTTACTACGCACTATGATACCATATACTGTATTTATAAAAAAACTCAATTTTTATATTTTTGTGTCGGTCTGTTTGTTTCTGCTAATCTCCAAAACGGCTGGACTGATTTGATGGGACTTTGACTGCCACATAGCTGATGTTATAAGGAGTAACTTAGGCTACTTTATTTATTTTATTTTAAAAAACGCAATTAGGATTCCGCTCAAAAATATGAAAACGTAAACTTAACCTAACCTAAGATCACACCCGCGCGAAGCGAGTCACTAGTTCTTAATAAAATTATTGTCATAAAAAACATATCAGATAAGCGTACTAAATCATATACCATTATATTTAGTTTTTACCGTTTTAGTTTTCTTGTAGCACAAAAGCAAAGCCACGCTCGATTATTAGTTTCCATAAATATAGGAAATATATTTCAAAGGCAGTACAATAAAACTTTCATTTTCTTGGCTAATTTGAGTAAAAAGTAAAGGCTTTGCTGCCGAGTTAAAACAATGAAGCATTGTGCCGCCTACTAGCGAGTAGTAACGACCTTTAATACGTGGATGAGTTACCATACATACAATGTACATGTAATGTACATAGTTGAAAGAAACAGAGTTATATCATACTATCCTTGTCCATAAAATTATGTATAGTGATTCACCGTCGTTTCGCTCGGGAGCTTCCCTGGGTGCCTAACATTAGTCTTTGTGTTACTCCAAGGTTTAGAGATATGTGTTCACAAAATTTTATTCAAATCCCTTCAGCCACAACAAACATATGATCTTAAAAATATATCTATACTATTATTATAAAGAGGTAAAGTTTGTGATCTTGTGAGTTTGTGAGTTTGTGGGTTTGTGAGTTTGTGAGTTTGTGAGTTTGTGACGTTGTAGGGGGTAATCTCTGGATCTACTGAACCGATTTTCAAAATTCTTTTACCAATAGAAAGCCACGTTCTTTCTGAGTGTCATAGGCTATATATTAACCCGAAAAACGAAAAGGCTTTTTCGTGGTAGTCGGATTTGCAAAGTAAGTCGGAGAAAAAACGGTCGAACGAAAACGTTTCTTACGAACGCTGCCTTAACGATGAGAGATATATGATTATGTTCTAGAGAAAAGTTGTAGAGCTTAATAATTCCTACAAAAAAGTCAGCGACAGCATATGTCTAACTTTTATATTTAAGTCACAAAAAGTAGTTTTTTATATTAAAAAAATCATTTAAATCGGTAGGTCATGTTTATTGGTCATATTATCAACAATTATGAATTCTTATCAAAATAAGTAAATTTATCGTCTAAAATGTTTAAAAAAAAAGACTTTTCCCTTTTACTGCATATAATTTGGACAAATGGTTAAAGAGATAATACAACATATTCGTATGTATGGACGAATCTGAGCGAGCTGTTTATCTGTTTTTCTCTTTGTACGGGCTAATCTCCAGATCTATTGGACCTATTTCAATGAAATTTTGCATGGTGGTACCTTATATTCCCGGGCAACATCTTAGATACTTTTAATCCCGGAAAATTAAAGAGTTCCCGTGGGATAGTTAAAAAACTATAACAACTTATACAGCTTAGTACACAAAAACTACTGATTGGATTTTAATGAAACTTTACAATAATATAGTTCATACATGACAAAAACAAATCAGCTACTTTTCATCCCGGAAAATTAAAGAGTTTCCGTGGGATAGTCAAAAAACTATAGTAACTTATACAGCTTAGTACGCAAAATAACTGATTGGATTTTGATGAAACTTTACAATAATATAGTTCATACATCAGAATAACAAATAGGTAACTTTTTATCCCGGAAAATTGTACTTTTCCCGTGGGATAGATATTTTTGTTTATTTGTAACGTATTATGTACACAACATAGACCCCAAAACAATAGTTATTAAAAAATTTCCTAATTGTCTGTTTGCCTGTATGTCTGTTTGTCTGTTTTTGTGTGTGCGTTTTACGCGAAAAGTAATGTACTAATTTCAACGAATTTTGGTGAAGTGATAACTTATTACTCGAGTCAACATTTAGGGTACCTTTTGTATGTATGTATGATGTATTCAGCCCTTTTTAACACATGCACGGGCCTCCCTTCAGTACGAGGTGGATCAGGCCATAGTCCACCACGCTGGCCAAGTGCGGGTTGGTGGACTTCACATGTCTTTCGAAAACTTGCTAGGTTATGTCAGACATGCAGGTTTTCCTTCACCGTTACGACAAGTGGTAACTGTGTTAGAAATGATTCGCATATGAAAATATCACTCGGTTTCCCAAGTGAGCGCGTTACCACTGGGATACCACTGCCTAGATACCTTTTACTTAAAGAAAATCTTTCTTTCCCACGGGAAAATACAATAACTGGTTTTATCGAGTCCTCCCTAGAAACCTTCCTCTGACTAAGCCTTAAGACATACATCAAGACAATATACTAAAAAATTGTAGGTCTTGAAAAGTCCTACAGAAAAGTTGTGAATAGTATATGTCTATCTTCTAAGTTACACTCGCAATATTTATTCTTATCTATACCTATAATAAAACTTAGTCAAATCGATGTGCGCGTTTCACGCAAAAAGTACTCAACCAATTTTAACTTAATTTTGTAGTCATAAAACTTAGTGCTCGGGTCAACATTTAGAATACTTTTTACGACAGGCAAATTACTCATTCCCACGGGAAAATACAATAACTGGTTCTATCGAATTGTCCTTAGAAATTTATTGGTTAACGTTGGCTCAACCTTAAGAGATAGATCAAAACATTGTACAAGAAAATTGTAAGTCTTAAAAAGGTCTATAGAAAAGTTCAACATAGTATATGTCTATCTCCTAAGGTACACTCGCTATAACTATTTTCATTATTATATATTTCTGTTTTATTATACGTTATTTATTCTATCTGAATATAGGTACATATATGAATAATAAAACTGTAGAGGTCGAATGTCTGTACATAGATGGTAGAAAAAATTGCTAAAAAACGAGTCAGTTCTCTTCTTACATCCCGTAAGGAGAGAAATAGAACAAATCTAGATTTTTTCAATTTTTTTGTTTCTCTGTCTGTTTTTCTGTTCGTACGGGCTAATCTCCGATACTATTGAACCTATTTAAATGAAATTTGATACTTTTCATTCCGGAAAATTAAAGAGTTCCCGTGGGATAGATCTTTTTGTGCTTTTCTAGAGGTGAACCCGAGCGAAGCGAGGGTGAGCCGCTAGTATTACATATATGGTAATTAATAATTATACGTATTCATCTGTTGACAAATCATCAGCGCCACATTTGGAAAATTGTATTACTAACACAAACTTATACATATGTCATTCGGGTCATAGTTCATCTGTGTACTAAACATCCAAATTCGTCTAGCTGTTTAAGCTTCTAAGAGTAACAAACATACATACAAAATTGTGCATTTTTAATAGAAGTGTGATATGTGTAGGATTTACGAGATTTACTGTCTACGCTTTTATATTTTTATTTTAAAACTAGTAGTATCCGCGGCTTTGCGAGTGTTCTAACTTTAGAACGCTACCAAATTTCACAGGATCACCCACTGAGCTATCTCTGAAGATCTGAAGATGATCTGAAGATTTCCTGAAAATTTCATCAAAATCGATTTGTAGTCTATAGGGAACATACACACACGTCGATTATTGTATATGTATATACATATATAAACAATTCAAAGGCACTGCCCTCAAACAAGCAGTTTACTTCACATTTGTATTTGTACGTGGATTCCATATACGGTGATTCACGATTACATTTTGTTCCTTTGTATTCTGAACAATAGCATAGACTTGTCTCGACCTAAAACAATGCTTTTAGTAATTTAAAAAATGCTAGATTCAATAACATCTAACTTATAACTACACTTAAGTACTCTTGCTGTCTCTACGTATTTTATAACAAATATTTACTAAATTCGGGTGTATGTATGTTTTTGTAGGCCAATTTTCATAATTCTCTTCTATAGAAAAATATCACTTTTAAAGTTTGAAACATTTCTTTTTAAAGTGATTATTTCGTTAAAAAGTAAAGACTAAATATTGTAACCCCTCCACAAAATAACATAACATAACATCTTATTTATACTGTCATGCCTAAAATTCAAGGACTAAGAATTGGTTCTGATATTATTATTATTTTTTGTCATATGAATGATCTAATATCATTACAAAACATATATAGTATACTAGCAGAACCTGCGGCTTCGCACGCGCTAAAACTACAAAAAAAACTCTAAGATCGGTATTTTCATAGAAACTTTCTTCCCCTATTTTACCCCCTTAAAGGATGAATTTCGAAAAATTCTAAGACATGTATTTATTTAATTTTATTGTAGTGTATATATACCAAGTTTCAAGTAATTCTGATAATAAATATTTTTTTGGATTGTATTGTAACGTGTTTTTCCGTAGGAATTAGATAATCTCCCATGATAAAAAGTATGTAACTCTCCAGCCCTCCAACTACATCCACACAAAAAATCACACCAATCCGTCACTCCGTTTCGACGTGAAAGAAGGTCAGACAAACAAACAAACACACTTTCACATTTATAATATTAAAGTATTAATAATATATTTTTTGTAATGTTTTAAAAATTAATGTACAATAAGTATCTATACATGTAATATATTCAATAAAATAGATATATTTTTGCTTACCAGGCGTCGTTAATGTGACAACAGCTATCAATATCGATAGCCATGTTGTGTGTTCCTGTAAAGAAATAATAAAAAAATAATTATTCATTTTAAAAATGTATTAACGAGTATTATATAATGAATTCATATTTTCTTCTATTTCGATACATATTATATCATATTATAATCGAATATCGACTGGCTATCGTCAATTATTTATTTTCTTTATTTTTTTGTGATAACAAAAAACTAAAGTTTCAAAAGCTATCATTTCATTGCGATAAAAATAGAAATAATTTAGGAATGATAAACGTGTAATATTTTCTTTGATTACAAAATATTTGACATTTTAAATAAAATTATTAATTTCGATCCCGAAGTAACATGACCACGGAAAAATATCCTTGTATGCTGTAAAGAATTCCAGAATTTGGTACCAAAAAATCAAAGCAAAACCACTAGGAAATTTGAAAAGCTAGTTATATTTGAACTAATGAATGTACTTAAAATAAAATTGAAAGGAATTAAAAATTGCATAACAGATTAGCAAAGTAGTACAATGACGAAATATTGTTTTTTCAGTTAAGATTACGCACTAAATGGCATTTACGATCGATGTAACGAAACCGGAACAAAACATGAAGATAAAAGGCCAACAGCTGTTATAAAGTAAGCGTATGATACTACCATAATACTGCTTATTCGGCCTAGAATATACTTGTAAACTCTTAAATTCGACTAAATAATCATACATTGTAATTTTTTCAAGTATAGCTTTTTAAATTAGTCTTTAATATAATTTCTGAACACATAATATAAACTATATATAATTCATTAAGTGTAAAATAATAATTTAAAAAACATTTACTTAATTTCTTCCCATACATACAGTCGACGTGATTGTAACGTAAAAAGTCGGGTGTTAGTTTATGGATTGGGTGTTGACCATAGACATCGTCAATGGTATGAACACTACTTTTTATTTAGTATGATATGATATAATATGGTTTAAAATCATAGAAATTTGCAAAAGATTTATTTAGAATCTGAGCAAAATGAGCACAGGATTAAGGACTTTCATAAACCAACAATATTAATACTTTCTTAGATTTAAGCACATATTGGAAATTTTAAATAAAACTCTCTTCGGTTATTTTCTCGGATTTATTTTCGTTTTTAGTTATTTTATAGCAGTGATAGACACAGGAGAGATTGTTTAGGTCTCTAAATTCATCCTAATAAATATACTATATACAGTTTATTAAGTTACCTATTTACCGCTAACAAAATTATGAACTTCATAAAAATTCAAAATAGCCGAATGGATTTTTCAGGCGAATATTGTTATTTACAATACTAATTATATTTAACTATGAAATTAGGTGCATTTAAAAAAATCATATCAAGTAATTAATTAAAAGCCAACAATACATTACCATAATTACGCACTAATAAAAGTAGATTAAGAAAGTTGTTTAAAATTTAGTACGAGTAAGTAGGTATACGACTTGTATGGTGTGATTTCAAAGCGGTCGTGTCATTTAAATTAGACTTAGGAAATCTTAGTTCTAACGCTGTAATTGGGATTTTTTTAGCCAATTTCCTTATCAATCCGTAATAGTAATTTATATCTTTACATAGTATAAAATAAAGTCGCTTCCGCTTCTGTTCGCTTAGATCTTTTATACTACTCAACGGATTTAAATACAGTTTTCAGCAATAGATAGAGTGATTCAAGAGGAAGGTTTATATGCATAAAACATACATATTATAGTACAGAAAAGCTGAGAAATTCAAAGAATTTGATTTCATACTAACCGTTAAAATGTACCTATGAATGAATAACATGATATGAAAAAAAATACTTTTTGTCACAAAAATAAAGTTCATTTTATATTCACCTGGTGAGCGAAGAGTTTGTCTTCTTTAAGTTAGCCCTTGCTAACTTCTAAATAGGCTTGTATCGATTATCTATTACACAATTGAAAGTTTGGAAATATGTATGTATGTTTGTTACTCATCAACGCTGAAACGGCTGAATTTGGGTGATATTTAGAACACAGATAGAATACAAGCGTATAACGCCTTTGAGACATCTATAACCTTAGTCTCTCCCGTGACCATGATTGGTGTAAAGCATTCGTAACGTCGGGGACCAAAAATCAAAATAAATTCGGAAAATAATCCGAAAAGATAGTTTTATTTAAAATGTCAAATATTCGCGTAAATCTAAGAAAGTATAACACAGATAGACTTTGACCTAGAGTAATATATATAGCTATGTTAGGCACCTATGTATACACACGAGCAAAGTGAGAGTACTTCCTCGGTGCCCTACGAACAATAGATTAATGTATAAATTGATTGCATAAAAGTTGACAAAATAAATCTACATCAGGTTATATTATATTATCCATCGTATTCCATTATGACTTAGGTATTTCTTTAACAGGAATACATATTTATCTCACATAACTAATCCCCATCAGAGTAATAAATAACGTATTACATATTAAAATACCAACAAATTCAAAGAACACAAATGTTCATATATCCATAAACCGTCGCACCTGTATAAAATCTACTAAATACGGTGCAAATCCACTTTTAACTCAGGTACTGCCGGGTATTAGATAAATTACATAAACAAACCAAATATAGGATCGATATATTCGTCCACAGGCTTTGATCGAGCTTTCCTATATGCTTCATGCAATAAATAATGAACTTACATAAGCTTTCAAGTTGACAGTAATAAAGCTCGGTATTCAAAACATCTAAGATTTTTTGCGTAGAACATTTTAATGTGCAATATAGTATGTAACCGTGCTTATATTATTATAAAATAATTAATTCTTATTAATCTTTATTTATTCATATAAAATAAACATTTGTTTAATATTATATTGAACTAAATGAAAACGAAAACTTTGCTTAGACAAGTAGAGTTGGACATATTCATGAGATATTTTCCCGCAGTAAAAAGTATCCTATAGGTTGACCCGGATACCAGCTATCATCATACCAAATTTCATCAAAATCTATCCAGGAGTATCCTAGTGATGCGTTTCCAGAAAGATAGACAAACAAAAATTCTGAAAACTATAGATTCGGCCTCTGTATTAATAATAATGATTATTTCATTAACATTTTCCAAAAAATATTTAATTTGAACTCAGTTAGAATTTTATTATATGTATAGATAGTTTGGAAACTAGTTTATGAAAGGATATAGAAATTTTAGTTCGACTAAATATAGATAGCACGTTATATCCCTTGAGGAATTTTCTACTTTCTTCTAAATTAAGGACAATGAACGCTAAGGTTTTAGCTATCGACTAACTTTGATGACTAACAAGGCTACATTAAAATCGTTGATCTTGGCATTTGCATTCTAATTTAAGAGCATATGATATTAAATGTCCATCCGGTATAATCTCAATAACACTTAATCGAGTGCCCATGACATCACTTGTATAATCGCTGATGATAACCGATACACTTTAACCGCTTAATGAGTGTTGATATCAAATGCGGTGGTTATGGTTTTTTAGACCACCCACCGGGATAATTTTACAAGATCAAATCCAAAAATTTACCCAAAATGAGAATCAAACTGGTGATCTCATGCGCTAACATAACTTATACTATTAAGCGAAACACGAGATACACTATTCATTGATTATAAGCACTTCGCATACCTCAAACAGAACCATTTATGTGGCGATAAATTACATAGGCGAGTTAAATCTAACGTAGATGTAATACTGCGTTACTGAAGTTATCGAGACCGTCACGGATGCTTTCGCCGTCAAGTTACGTAAAAATATTACATTGCCCTACAGATTATAATGAAATATTTTTCCCTCTGTAATGCAATGGCTGCTTGACTAAACCAAAGAAACGTAGGTTTGTACTGCTAAACTGTTAACAGTTAGCACTTGTAGTGCTAGCTAAACTACATCTTAAGCATTTCTAAATTCCTATCTTTTTATGCTACTTAAAAAAAGAAAAAAATATCTGATAGCTTTTAATATATCCCATAGAACTAGACCACCAATAGGCTAACCGGCTCTCCCTCTATCCGCGTCACAACTATCTACCAAACTATTTTGTTGGAGTGTCATTACTGTATTCAGTAAATACATATATCTCATATATGAACACTAATTTATACCCGCAGTTCCACTCGTATGGTAAGCTGGGCGATAAAAGTCTATGTCCGTATACATGATGCAATCAGTCCAAATATGCCTTCGTAACTTTATGGTGCATATCTTTATGGTTAACTTTAATCATAGTTTTATGGTGTTATTATAAAAAAGTATAATTACGCAAATTATACCTAATATTGTAAACGAGAAAAATATGAATAAAACCAACCAAAGCCCACAACTGCATTCTTTGCCAATGATAAGCTATTGTTGAGTCACAATATGAATGCTTTGAATATTATACAAAACGTTTTAAGCTTACAAAGCTCAGCATATAATATATTAACGCTAATATGTATAATGCCGTAGCTCTATTTTAGTAATATGCACAAAGAGCCCAATAAATAATTCATTAAAATGCTGAATTGAGTTGAACAAAGAGATATACAACTCTATATATTTTGAACGGAAAAATACATATAAAATAATATATACTTATACATACATATCTACAAACTAAATACAAACGTCTCTACATTCCATATCAATTAAAAACTATGTCGGAAACACCTTAAAAGAAAATTAGTTCTCGACCGTTCTACTTAACTGTGATTATAATAAGTCATAAATATTCAAAGGCCGTGCGCTGAAACTTTACCAATTGTAAGGAATAACTGTTGGTGGTCCTTTTACAATATTGAGTCCTCGATGTATGGAGGGCAGACACTTTTAACGGTTATATTATATATATTTTGTGAGCGTAGTGGTACCATAAGATCCAAAACCATAAGAACCAAATAAATACAAAGAATAAATTAAAGGAAATTTAATAACCTGTTATTTTATATTATACTAGCGACTCAACCTCCTTTTACGTTCCTTGTTACGTTTTAACGTTTAATATAAATTACTCATAGATGAGATATTTTCTCGTAGTAAAAAGTATCCTATATATTGATCCGGTTAACCAGCTATCATTATATTAAATTTTATCAAAACCTGTCTAGTGGTTTTTTCATGATGCGTTCCCAGACAGACAGACAGACAAACAAACAAACAAACAAACAAACAAACAGACAGACAGACAGACAGATAGACAGACAGACAGACAGACAGACAGACAGACAGACAGACAGACAGACAGACAGACAGACAGACAGACAAAAATTCTAAAAACTATAGATTCTGTACAGATTCGACTCGGAATTTTATTATTCATATGTATCAATTATGGTTGCAAAAAACACAATGCACTTTGGCATGTATTACCAGTCGTTATCGTGACACTTACTTCTCCATTTTTCTCCGAATACGTTAGAAAAACAACTTCCTATTTTTTAGATATAGATACGAGTATTTTATGAATTATATCCTTGTCAACTAGATAGCAAAAACTTATTTTTGTTCCAAAAAATTTTCATCAAACATTTTTACAAATAAAAATTAAATTACAAAAAATAACTCGTCAATGTAAAATGGTAATAAAAAAGATAGGAAATAAATTGGAGTACATGTTTTACTTTTCTCTAACTATTATTTTGTTTCTAATATATTTTATTATATTATTAATACTATATTTCTATCACAGTCGGGTAAAAAGGAGACAAAAAATATAAGACAAATCGGGTACGGCAGTGTCTAATTCAGCGTTAAAGATTGGAATAAAAACAAAGTTTACTTCGTTCTAATTATTTTAATACTATACTGACACTGAATAGGTAGTGTACCTATATAATATTCTTTCAATTAATATTGTACTATTATTTAGTAAAAATAGTAATGTTTGGGAGATAGAAATTTAATATCATATTGTCAAGAGAAATTCACTATTTTGATATTTGATAATCTGTGACTATATCAAGCTGTCAAGGCTGTCTGTCAAGATGATTTTACTTTTTCTCGACGTGGCGCGTTATACGAATTTGTGCATCACTGGATATTTTACAAGTATTTAAAAATAAATAATTAATTATTAGATTTATGGAATAAATTTTCTAGTGTGGTTTTTTGTGTTTATAATTTAATATATTATTTTTCAGACTATAACAACGGTTACCATGGAAACCTTTTTTTTTTAACGTTGGGAAATGCATTAACGCACGAAGTGTGCGACTCACCGGCAAAACCAGTACTACCCACTAAAACCCAACAAAGTCTTCCCCCGTCTTAATGGGGCGTCGCAGGATCGCTTGCGCATTCAACTATGACGCCCCGACGGCAGGTCTGCCGAAGCAGACCACAACAACCATGGGGTTGCTCCAAGGTCCACTCTGCTATCAGAGAAGTACCAGGAGCAACCCGCATGGCGCACCGCCCTCCGAAGAGGGCCGCCTCCCACCGCCCACCGAAGTGGGCCACCTCCCTGTGTGTTTCTTGGCTTCGCGCCCGGCTGTATTGCCATGCACTACTGAGCCCCCCCACCACGACAAGGTGAACGCACGTTGGGGAAGAACCATGGCAACCTAATGCAACCTATTTCGTTACGGTCCACTTTTCTGATTGTACCCGTATATTTCGGTGTGAATAAATGGGAATATATATGAAGCTGCATGTAAAAGTCATAAAGTAAAAATTATTTGAAGCCATAAAGTCAAGAATGAGCGTCATGCAAGGCGCATCCGGGACGTCATGCCCCACGCAACTACTAATGGAGTGGCAAATTGATAATTATCCATTTACACTACGGTTTATTTGAGAGAGACAGGTGAAATTGAGCTATTAGCTTTTAATAAAATAAGGAAAAACAAATAAAAATAATGTAAAAAAGTCTGCAATTAAAAAATATAATGAATTTTGGCATATTTTTCATGTTATATTTACAATGACGTTATTTCCAATCACTTCAAAATAAATTTTTGCTCTGGCACTAAATACTAATGTCTTGTAATTAACATCTTATAAAATAAAATTGAAAAATTAACATTTATTAGTCGCATTCTAAACATGTTGCTATATGAAACCCAAAGAGATAACTACAAAGTCAATATTTCAATTAATACTAAAATTTCATTATCGCGTCAATAAACTGAATAATAGACTGAGACAAAAGACGTACAAAACAACAAAACAGCCGAGTACGTGAGAACATGTAGTATCATTACCTACCGAGCTTGAATATCGATATATATAAAAATAAAGTGTAGTCATGAATTTCCTAATGTTTTTTTGTATATTATACAAATTGCTAACTAAGCTTTTTATTAAAACAATCCAAATATGGTATCAATTTTAGATATTTTCGTCGTAATATTTATACTTCGTATATATGCTTAATCTTTATACTTCGTTCATGTTATGAGTATAATAAAAAATTTACAAGTATAGACATATATTCCAATTCACTTATATGTTTCAAAAATTTTGTGTTTTATGTAATAATATTTTTTCTTTATTTTTTATTGTTAATGTTAATCAGTGTCTCTTTTTGTAATTTTTTAGTTTTTTTTTAATTTAGTTTTAACTTTTTGCTTTTTTTATTTTCATTGTGTTCTGCTTCTTACCTACTTTTGTATTTTTAATATGTGGAAACTTGATTGGTTTATGTGTTATCCTATTATTATTTATTATTTATGTAATATTGTACTGTTTGTTTCCCTAAAATAAATAAAAAAAATAGTAATATAAGATGTAAATATGTGTTACATAATGAGTACATTTTGTTCCTCATCAGTCGAAGCAAATACTTTGATTTTCCAATATTTCATCAAACTTAAGGTAAAGTAAATCAAATATGTTAGAAACAGCTATAACGATATGTACGAGCGTTGAATAGTCGATCATAGAGGTGTTACCCCATTTGCGTTACCACACGCATTTCCCAATAAGTAACAGCAACTGCCGGTATTTCTTTCCATGTCTGACGTGAACGGCTACTAGATTAAGGATTGAGTTAGTTTTAATTTCTATTAATGCAAATCTATACATATACCTAATAAAAGTGTAATTGATCGCTGTCTGTACATAAAAGATATTGGAGAAAAACTATTATTGGGGACCTTTATTAACGCCATAGAAACCAAAACAATGATTTTTAGAATTTTTGTCTGTTTGTCTGTACGTTTGTGCGTGCTAACCTCTGAAACAGCTTAACCGATTTGGGTTCGATTTTCATTATTGTATTGGGGTAAGCTTCAATTAACATTTCGTATTTTTTTTATTTCAATCGGTTCATAAATGAAAAAAATATGTTAATTTAAAGAATCACTTAGAGACGAACCCAAGCAAAGCGAGGGTGAGTCGCTAGTAATTAAATATTTACAGACAAAAATAAACTTCCAAGAATGGTCTTAACGTTATTTAACATATAAAATTTAACGTTTTTGGTTTTTAAATATAAAGGAAAGATAAACTTTTTCAATCTACTCTATTGGAATCACAACTAGCGAAGATATCATGTTACGTGTAAACTGTAGTGTATATTATAATTTTATAAAGACCATGTTTTTTGGAGTTTCATAGTTTATTTTTAATGAAACTCTAGCATTAAAATTTATCAAGCTGTTTATGGGTTACAGAGTATTTAAATAGTATTAGATACTTTTGTATGTACATTGTATACAAAG